TGGTTTTGGTTGTCAGCAGCAAAACTGGCTGATCCACTCTGAGAAGGTGCTATTTAAAAGACTGAGCTGAAAACAGCAGCTCAGACTGAGGAAGTCTCTTGGATGAGAGACGAAACGTTTCTACATTTTTTTTTGTTTTGTTTTTTTGAATGTCCAGAGGACCAGATTGAACTTTCTTGGATTTTATTTTTTAGTTTTTGCCCCAGTGAAACGAACCCAGATGCGTCAGTGGCCAGACAGATAGTAAAAATGTCAAAATAATATAATTCCTCATAATGATTTAATAATAGCATTAAACAAAACCAAACATATCTGATATCCGACAGGTGGTGCCCCCTCATGTTGGGAAAACGACCCTGAAGTGGGAGTAAAAACAAACTTTTTCCATGTTAACATTTACCTTTCCATGTGGAGATCTTTTTTATTTCCTACAAGAACAGTCGGGACCCTAAAAAGAAAAATGTGGTTGGAAACAAACACGTTACTAAAAGAAAATTCAAAACATAATCTCAGAAAATGGAATAAGCCAACTAAACTTACTGAATTTTCCCAACCATGTCTAGCAGCTTGTCATGTAGAACCTGCACAACTTCAAAACTGGGCAAAGACAACAGAGTAAGTTTTAGACACGTTCCCTTAAATTTATAGGAACAAACTGTTAGTCCAACACTTCCACATCTGGGTACAGCAAAGACTAAATGAGCACTTTATGGTGCTTTTCCATAACACAGTACAGTATGGATTAGGTGAACTGAATCTGTGAACTTTCTGGCTTCATCAAACAAAAGGTGTGTGCTGGTGTTAGAGGCTCTATTATTCACGTCTACAGCTCATGATTCTCTTCGGCATGTTAGACATCCCCAAGTGTTTCAACATTGGCTTGCTTAGAAATTTGAACAAGTCAGTACTAAAAATATTTGATCAGTTAAAAGACGATACCTCAAGGGAAGTAAAGTATCACATCGTCCGGGACTGGATGGCTTTAAACTTCTTAAGCTTCAATGAGAAGAAGTCTGAAGTCATGCTGTTCCATCCCAGTGGCTCACTCATGAACCAAGACATTGACCTTTTCTCTCTAGCCCCGCTAGAGAAACAAAAGGTGACTAATCTGGGGGTGATAATGGACCCGTCCTTAAAACTCAACAGTCACGTAAACATGATGGTCAAATCCTGTTTTTTTTCAGCTGAGACGGCTGTCTAAGCTGAAGCCTATACTCTCCAAAAAGAACCTTGAGACAGTGATCCACGCCTTCATAACATCTAGGCTTGATTACTGCAATTCACTTCTGTTTGGAATCAGTCAGTCCTCGATTGCTCATCTACAACTGATCCAAAATGCTGCAGCCCGATTTTTAACTGGTACAGGCTATAGAGAGCACATCACGCCAGTTTTGGCCTCCCTGCACTGGCTACCCATTCACCTTCGGATCCATTTCAAAATTCTCATGTATGTTTTTAAATCACTGAACAGTTCCGCCCCATCCTATCTCACTGATCTTCTGCAGCAATATGTCCCACCGCGCTCTCTGAGGTCAGCAGACCAGATGCTTCTCTCAGTCCCAGAAACCCGTCGTAAGCTCAGGGGTGACAGGGCTTTCTCTGTTGCAGGTCCACGACTGTGGAATGAGTTGCCACTGAGTGTCCGGCAGGCTCCCACACTCTCAGTCTTTAAGTCTCGCTTGAAGACCCACTTCTATTCGCTTGCCTTTAACACGGTGTGATTTGTTTTGGTCCGGTCTGTTCTCTACTCTGTTGGCCATTTTAGTTAGCTTCTGCTGCTATTTGTATCTGTATTTCTATTTTATGTTTCCTGTCTGCTGTGCATGTTTGTTTCTTTTGTACTCCACTTTGGTTGGCCTTGTTGCTGTTTTAAGTGCTATATAAATAAATTGGTATGGTATGGTATGGTATTATTGAATACAAAGTACTGCACTTTTGTGCGTTTTCAAATAAATGTTACTCTCACTCAAACACTATGAAATAATTTATATAAACTACTTACATGTGTCTGAAATGACAAGCACTGGACTGCATTTAATGTAGTGTTTTTCCAACCTTGCAGCTTTTACACTATAGGTCTCACTCACCAGTATACACAAACATAAGCAGGGCAGGGCAGTGCAGTCTGTGGAGTTTAGTGTCTTGCCCAAAAACATTTCAAGCATGCAATGAGGCCAGAATCAAACCAGCAACTTTCCAATTGGCAGATAACTACTATTCCTCAAACTGCAGCCACCCTGAGGAATACTGAGTGTACTATATATAATGTAAGCTTTGTTACTGGCATATAAATAACACCACCACACACTGACCTTTTCATAGAAGTCACTGAATAGACAAGGACATAGCCATGGATGTCCATTGAGTGGGACTGTGGGAAAATTGAGTATTCATCCTACAGACAATAGAAGACAAATTATAATCATATTAAATTGATCATCTTGCATAAAACACATCTGGTGTATAAATAAATTGGTCAATATTAGAAAGACTTTTTGAAAAAATGTGCTTAAAATAATGAACCATGTCTACTCTTCAAAAATATTGTGATTTAGAGCCCAATGTTAGTTTCTGCAGCAAAACAGCAACTTACTTGTCCAGCTGTATCAACTAGCTGAAGATTGAAGTCTTGACCATTCACATTAACCATTTTGTTAAAGGCTAGAAAGAAACAAGAATGAACAGGTGTTACAACATTCACATTTTATTCCTGATCGTTTTTAAAGCACTAACTGAACAATAAAATGGCACTTACTGTTTTCGATGGTGGGGTCATAGGAGTCAACAAATTGTCCTTCTACAAACTGTATTGTAAGAGATGACTTTCCTGTGTAAATGAAGATAAAGGATGGTTAGTTTACTAACAGTTTGCTGATTTGATTCTCAGTTCCACAGTTGGGTGAGACTGAGATGCTTCTGATGGAAGACGAGCAGCTTTTGGTGTGCAAGTCTGTGTGTACAAAGAGGTACAGGTAGATGGTAATCATTTTTAATCTGTTTTTACCTTTCTGTTAGAATATGTACATCTGATTATGTAAAATCTTTGCAGTTAAAACATTTAAAGAGGCTTTGTAAAGCACACTTACTGAAAACACCACTGCTATTTTTTGTAACCTAGTAATTTCATCAAAATGTATAATTTCCTAAAATCTGGCAAGAAGCATTTGTGTATTTTGGACAGAAAAACATAAAAATGTGCATTATGTGCAAATGTGCAAAATCACATTATTTTCTTCAACAAATAGTAAAAATTATGAATACAAAGTGTAAACGGTTTTTCCTGGCAGCCTCATTAATTTAAACACAAAACAAATGGGTGATTATCAAAAAAAAAAAAAAGGTAGTGCCCATATATAGATTTAAAAGCACTTTTACAGCCATAATAATTTTTCTATACCCTGGCCTAGTTAGTGTATAAAACACATGCAAGGTAATAAAAATGTCAATACATTAAGATTTATTATCAAAGTTAAACTCTTAAATGATGTGAAACAATGTTTTTATTAAACTGGGCAAACGATCTAGTGTGTTACTTGGAGACACTGAACCTATTTAAACTGTAAACAAATACTTTCCAAGCTAAGCAACAAAATGTGGTGCAACAGGCTAGCCGGCACATGAAGATCCCATGAACATAAACAAATGTTGCAACAGGTCAAGAGTGTTGAACTCCTAATTTCAGGGATTTCTATAATATCCACGCTGAAATGCCAGGCTAAAGGCTTCGTGGCACAATAGATACCACTAACGAAGCTAACTTGTACTTTTATCAGCACATTAAACAAATAACTTTAAGGATACAACATACAAGGTTGAATTAAATATGATAATCGAGAATGCACGCAACAGAAGCCCAACTAAACAAAGACAAGTGTGTTTTCTGTTGCTGGTTTGATACTCTCAAAAGGAAAACAAAGCCAGGATGTTAGCATGTTAGCCTGCTAGCTAACCAACAACAGCTGCTGTACTCACCTACGGACCGGTAACCTAAAACGGCGATCTTTCGGTACTTGGGCTGAGGCATTGTAGTGAAAACAGTGTTCAAAAGGTTCTGAAAACGTAGCACGCCACCTAGTTTTACGATTTAAACAAACTTTTATCGCCACATTCGTTTCGTGCGTCACGTGACAACAACAAACTTTTTCGGAGCTCTCTCCGCTGGGCCTCGCGCCACAGTTTCGGCGTTTAAATAAAACAAGTACAACCAGTACCTATCTCAAAAAGTACCCTCTTTTTGTGTGTGATATCGGCATCGGTGTCTAATGAGGTTTTGAAGCGAGAGTGGGGGGAAAAAAATCTCGTTTTAACCGAAATTGGAAACAAAAAAGAGCGAGTTCAACGCGGTCGCTAACTGCAAGTCGAACTGACGGAAATTGCCATTGTGTAAGCACACCGTCGTAAAACGAGCGAACACGTCAGAGAAAAGACATGAACGGGGCATTCAAGTTTATCTGTACAGCAGAGGTCACTCTTTGTACGTCCCAGTATGTTCCTGACAAAATTCTTTTTTAGACTTTTTCCAGGCTATTCCGATCTGCAGTGAGAGGTTCAGGTCATTTATGTCAACATATGTGAAGACCCATAGGTGCCAAATGACCACACAACTAAAAACTCTGTGTTTTCCATTTTTTTCATTGTTCAACAAACATCACATTTAAAGCAGAAATAGAAAACATATTGGAATTAAAAAAAAAAAAATGGAAAACGGAGAATTTGAAGTTTAATTAATTTTTTTTTTAAATTCGTAATGCGACTCATTTTGCCAGAACTCTTCACATATTTTATTCAATGGCCATTTTTTAATATGGTCTTGAGCAACACGTTTTCAAAATTCCTATAAATTCGCTTTGGAACAAAAGTGTGTGTTTGTGTGTGTGAGAGTGCTGTCTTAAACATTGAAATAATGACAAAAACATTTATTTGCTAATAAATAAAGGTATTCCAGGTTAGAAAAAAACTCCTTATCATGGCTTTTTATTCCAGTTACAATTTAAATGTTTGCTTTTTTGGTTAGATATGTCATAGATATCATATAAAAGCTTTTATATGATATCTGTGAGATATGTGGCTTCGTGCTGCGCTACCAAAACAGGGGTCAACACCGGAAGCTGGACGAAATTACTTCCGGGGAACGTCGCCGTCACAAACAGGCTGATAAAAATTCAGAATAACCTCAATGAAACGGCTTTGGCAGTGACAGGTAATATTTTGGACACTGGGGAACCTGTTAGTCTTATAAATATTCATACCTATCTGTTATTACCGTTTTTTAACAAGCTTTTCAGTCGGTACTTAGCCGTAGCGTTCAGGGTGGCGGTGGCTGCCATAGCAACCGCTACTGAAACATTAGGCTAATGGCTGTTTGTTGTTAGCTTCTATGTTAGCCTTTAATATGACGTCGAACAGACTTCAGTATCTAAATTAGCGAAAGACAGTAAATTAATGTCATAAAACAACTGTATTTATATATGCCATTGTTCGTATTTCTTCGTTTTAACCCTGCTCACCGATATAACAAGCTGTCATTAAGCCAGACTGTTGTATGGTTGTGGAGTTGAGTTTAGCTAACTTGGTAATTTCCATGACATACAGTAAGCTAACGTTAGCTACCAGCCAAGGCCGTCAACTTCTGGTACCTCGGTGTCGCGGTTACATAAACGCTCAACAGTGTCTACTTCAGATTAAGTGGGCATAGAAAAACTAAACCTTTAGATTATCTTAACTTTAAGAGATGTTAGTTTAGTTATGTCTGTGAATGGTAAGGTAAGAATCGAACCCAACTTGGCTACCAATATGGTCTGTAGTTGGTCAGACAGATTTAACCAGCATGAGCTAATTTCTTTTTTATACAAGGATTATGGTTAGCGGAAGCTAATGCTGTAGTTAAGAATTGGAGACGTCCAAAATGTATGAACATTCTTGGTAGTACCGCCGGAATATGTTAAATATATGCTAAATGTTGTCAATGTTTGGGCTTTAGTATGCATTAAAGCGTTGAATGTGGCAGATTCAGTCTTGCATTCGTAAACATGACAGTTGCTATACTTGCATTTATCCAGGTTGTCATTTGTGATGTGAATTTTGACCTACCTGCAAATAGTTGCAAAATTCCAGGAATACAAAATTTGTAAACTTGTTATGGTAACTAACTGGAATTTTAAATATAATTAAATTTTTCTACCTTTACAACAACCACATTTCATCATTGCTGCACCACGCAATGAAAAGTAAAAATTGGTCGTCACCTCGACAGATTAAAATAGTAATGTGCAAAAGTTTTGTTGAGAGTTGTGACTAGTTGCAGTTTAATTCAAATGTGTTTAGTTTTTATGTAGATAAATGATAAAAGCCCATGATTGTGATCAAATAACATGTAAACAGTTTTGTTCAGATTTCTGTGAATGAAATTTGACATCTGTGCATCAATTTAGATATTTCATTTTTTTGTGATATGTAGTTTACTGATTGTAAATTTGTTTTTATGTTAATACAATGAGAACAAAAGTCATTTTATGTGAATATTGTTGTTCAGAGTGGTGTGTATGAATTTAGAAAAGGATTATTGCAAAAAATGCAGAAATTGTCAAAATCCATTATTAAGGTTGTGACATAGTGATATTATACTTAATTAAATGAGTTCCTTTCTTAAACTTAGGGTCAACTTCATATGTGGCCTGTGACAGTATCTGCCTATGACTGAACAAAGTAGTAATACGTATGTTTGGGTATGATACAGTTTGTGTAAATTACCTTGAATGCTCATTTAATTCCTATAATTTTCACAAGTTTTCAATTTGGAAATTTCCAAAATTCCCCAGTTTAACCTTCTATGGAAACTTTTAGGAAATTAACTGAAAATTTTCTGCCTCCTTACACCCCTACCTGCAAATGTTTTCTCTTTGATAAATGAAGTTTTGAGTTTCACTTTAATGAATGCTTGAGGAAGTTATTCACCTTCAGCTTAAATTTAATTTCAGAATTCTTGAACTAGCATGGATGTAGATGACTGTAATGGCCGATCATACATATCAGGTAGGTTTGTATTTAATGGCAGATGTATCTGTTTTCTAAACTTAAGAGTATTGTTCCAAAGTGAAATTTTGTGTTTCTCATCTTTGTGTTTTCAGGTAGTGGAGACTCTTCGCTGGAAAGAGAGTTTTCTGGGGCCTTCGGAGGCGCAACAGTGAGCACCCCGAATAGCAAGGAGAACTCTCCAAGTCATTCCCTCAATGGTGAGTGTGAAATTAAGCCATCTTATCTTTTTGTTTCTGATACACTTTATTATGCACCTGTCTGTTAATCTTGCAGTGAAATGTTGTACACAACAGTATAAAACTTAAATTATTTGTGTAGGGGTATAGTTAGTGACAACTTTCATAACTAATGGCATGCTTTCTCCACATGGTGCCTGTGTCTCTGTAGCCAACTGCATCAAAGTGGAGCTGTACAGTGATGAAGACTTAGGTCGCGGTCATGAAGATGAAAAGACAGAGCGGATAGAGGAAGACGGTCCAGGTCAGGAATCGGAGTGTGGTGTAGGCTACAGGGAGCTCACTAATCCTGAAACCATACCAACTGGAGCCACCAGACTGCCAAATGGAAAGCTCAAGTGTGACATTTGTGGAATGATCTGCATCGGGCCTAATGTTCTTATGGTGCACAAACGCAGCCATACAGGTGACTCAGTTAGATTCAGATGAATAATTTCACTAAAAATATGTATTTTTTTTAAGTAAATAATCTGAATTGGAAAATATTCGTACATCTCATACTTGTCTTTTTCTAAGAACACTTCAGGACCTTGTAACTTGACAGTGGGTGATGTTAAGTTTGATTCTGTTTTACTTTTGAAGCCAAGGCTGTTTGAATTTGTTCCCACTGTTGCTGCTGTTGGCAACCTAATTCTAAAAACTGAAATGTCCGACAATGGCTGCCAATTTTTGCCTGAAATGTTCTGATATAACTGATGTGTTGTTTAGAAAAAAAGCAATGCCGTCTGGAATAATAATAATAGTAAAAGTGAAGCTGCTCAGTTGTTTTCCAACACTTTAGATGCCCTGGTACATTTGCAATATATATCTTATGTCATGTATTGTAAAAGAGAGCTGACAGATTTGACCTATCTGCAGGGGAGCGACCCTTTCAGTGCAATCAGTGTGGCGCCTCCTTCACGCAAAAGGGTAACCTACTTCGTCACATCAAGCTGCACTCGGGTGAAAAGCCTTTCAAATGTCCCTTTTGCAGCTATGCATGTCGAAGACGAGACGCCCTTACTGGCCACTTACGCACTCATGCAGGTAAGACAGATTTCAGCCTGATGTGTGTGTGTATATTTTTCTCTAGTAGAGGAGTACCTTTACATTTATAACAACATATTCCTACTATGTCTGCAGTGTCTTCTCCAACTGTAGGGAAGCCTTATAAATGCAGTTATTGCGGCCGTAGTTACAAGCAGCAGAGCACCCTGGAGGAGCACCGCGAGCGTTGCCATGGCTACTTACAAAGTCTGGAATCACAATCACTGAATAATGCACAAAATATAGGTAAAATATAGATGTTTTTTTTTTTTTCTTAACACAATGGTTTCACTTCAATATCCCCTTCCAAAAAAGATTGTACGAACATCTAAATTAGAAATGTAGTCTTCATCCTTAATGAGGTGATGCACAAAATCCTCCTCTCATTACCTTGTAGCTCCAAAAGAAGGTTTAGGAATTCTGTCTGAACATTAAGAAAAGAAAGAGGGAAAAAAAAAAAACATAACAGTTTGTTTGTACTCTGTCCAGGAGAGGAGATGAGAGAGCTAGAGTTTGTACCAGACTCTCTTCCGCAGCCCTCCTCAGACAAGATGGCATTTATTGATCGGCTCGCCAACAGCATCACCAAACGCAAAAGATCCACACCACAAAAATTTGTAGGTGAGCATTTAGTGTCAGTGTGGATGGTTTTAGGAAATTAACAAATAAAAATAATTGCTCAACATAAAGTATTTAATACCCCCAAAAGCTGAGGAAATCATTACTTTATTGCATTTATCAACAGTATTACTAAGTATTACTTACTTAAGATCTGCACAACAAATGCAAGTCTTGGTAAGCTGGTTATTTATCTGAGTGAGCTACCTGCTATTTTATAAAAAAAAAAAAAAAAGATATTTGGATTCTGCACTATCATTAAATTGTTTGTCTCTGTGTTGCAGGGCAAAAGCACATCCGGCTCAACTTTGCAGATGGACCGTACGAGCTGACAGCTGATTTGGATAAAAGTGAAGACCTGCAAACAGGGGACCTTGAAGCACCACACTTTACTGGCCTTGGAGAATACACAGTGGGTGTAGCAGGTAATAAAGGAGTGGCATCTGACAAACTTAGGCCTCTCCACCTTCCCACCACTCATCCTTGTTTGACAGAACTCAGGCCGATCCACAGCTCCACTCACACTTCTGGCGCTTTAGGCCCAAGGTTGGATTGCACAGGGACTGGGCTGGGGGCTGCAGGAGGAAGGGAAGCTGCCGAGGGTCACGAAGACCTGCCTGCTGGTCGAAGCCATGCAGCCTCACCTAGCAATGGTTGCCAGGACTCTACGGACACAGAAAGCATGCCAGATGAGCTGTGCAACAGCACTGCTCCCCTTCCAGCGTTGCACAGTAACAACGGGCATCACCTTTTTCACTCTAATAACCATGTCACAAGACCTCCTCCCACCTTTCGCCACAGAAGTCAGGACAGATACAGCCCCATCTATGCCAAAGACCACGAAGTGGAAAGAGAAAATGGGGGACACTCAGCCCTCCCACCTCCTGCCTTTGCTCCAACCTCAAGCTCACCTACAGTACCCTCCTCCACTTCTAAGGAGGTGTTCAGGGTTGTTGATGGGGAGGGGCGAGCGGTGCGTTCCTTTCGTTGCGAGCACTGCCGTGTGCTTTTCCTGGACCATGTCATGTTCACCATTCACATGGGCTGCCATGGTTTTCGACAGCCTTTTGAGTGTAACATCTGCGGCTACCGCAGCCAGGACCGATACGAATTTTCTTCACATATTGTCCGTGGAGAGCACATCAATGACTGAAGTGAAAAGTTAGGACAACTTGCTTTACTCTGAGTTTATTTTCACACAAACAAGGACCTGGCTAGATTTGTTCTGCACATGAGCTAAAGGAGTCGCTGAAAGTGCAAACTGGACATGTATATTGATGAAAAGATCCATTTTTATTATTCTCTGTAACACTGGTTCTGATTGTTTTTGACTAAATACCAAACACATTTGACATTCAGTTTTAAATAAATATTCCTGAAGTAAGTGAACTTCTTCATCCACAAATGTGCCTTGCACAAAAATTCAAGATTCAAACTGCATGCACAAAATGTATTGGTCAAATCTGACTAATATCTATAACCTTAAAATATACCACACTTCTCCAGTTTAGTAAATATGACATACGAAATCCAAATATTGTTTGTAAATTTGCTTACGATTAATTATGTGCAGATTTACTTGCTCTATTTCAAAATAACAGAAAATGTTAGCAGACCTTGAATTTCTTAACATTTTCAACTTTGGGTTAGTCACTTCTTATTACACAAAGTGCAGATCAAATTCAAAACCCAGGTCCACATTAGTCACACTAAATGTTTGAGGGTGGTGTCGTCTGTGAATTAGCAATGCACTTTGATTTTTTTGAATGAAGGGATCTATATATATATATATATGTGTGTGTGTGTGTTTGAAAGAATCTAAGGACCTTTTATTTTTAGTTGAAAAATGAATCCCTTTGCTTGTGTTGATGCCATGTGGGATAGTGTATGAATTGATTTTTTTCTGACTGCTTTTGTTGCACTGATTCCTGCCAGAATTGAAACATTAAACTACTTTATAGAATAATTTAATGATCTGCACGTCTCAAAGTGTGAGGAAACACTGTTGGGTTGTTCTGCTCTGATGGGGTCAGAAATCACAGCTAAGAGTGCTAAGAGGTTATCGAGTGTTTTCTTTTAAATAAAAAATACATTAAATCATAATCCATCACTAATATCTAAAATATTTATTTTTGCTATATTTAAAATGATTATGGTGTTCTGTAATTGTATTGTGCCTTTCTTCACTTTATTTCCCAGACTGGAGCTGCCAGCCTTCATGTCTTAAAACAGATCTTTGTGGGTGATACTCGAGGTCAAGTTGTCTATTTTGAAGTTTTACTGTAGCTGTTTTTAAGTGAAAGAAAAAAAAAGTTGTTTTCCAAGTAAATTTACTGCCATGACTAAATATGGCTGTCAAAAGTTGAATGACAAAAAAAAAATCCCAATCAAGAAGCTTCAATGGTAGCCATCCATATTTTAATAGTTTGTGATCTATTATTTTTGTTTTGGTTTGATAATTTCTGCAGAAATTTACTGTCACTTTACACACTTTTGATTCAATTTCTTTATGTAACATCAGATTCTATTTATATATTACTGTCCAGATGACAGTTTGGACCTTAAGAAATCAGGATCACAGATTTCATTAAAAAAATGCTTAGTGTTCATCTTCTTTGCATATGAGATTATTTACAGTACCAGATATTAATAGTAGTGAAGTTATTATGAAGAGTATGAAAGCTGCTCTTTTTTTTACTATTGACAGAGTAGTTGTAAAAAATAAAAAGATCAAAATATAAAATATTTGCTGGTAATCATTAAAATGGTCTAGACTTCTGCCCTTTAGCTTTTGTGTAGTATGATGGTATTTATTTACATTGGTTTTTCAGCTTAAATATTTTTTTAATTATTGCTAACCAAATTGAAATATCAGCTGTTTGGCTCTAAAGTGGTTGTTAGTGTTGTAAACACTTCCCTGTTTTGTCCTGCTAAACCCAGTTGTCACCTGATGGTTCAGGGTTAAGTTTTTTTAGATGCAAGGATGTGCAGACGTTTCAAAATATTTACGAGAGAACATAGGATTTTAAATTGAGTGTGGTTTAGTAAAGCATCAAATACTTTTTAGTTAAGCCAAAGAATCACGATCAGTGACCGGTAGGCACTTTCTCTTGATATCTTGGCAGAAATTTCAAATGTTAACCGTTAAATATGGACAAAGCTGAAACTTATCAAAATGATTTAAAGCACTTTGTTTTGTGGGATTCTTTAAAGCGAAACGTCTCATTTCATGTGAGAAACAATGTTCCAGGGCCAGTTGTTTAATTAAAAAAAAATTGGAATTGTGAAGTCAAAAGAGTGTTGTGCCATCTGATCAAGAGCAGTTAGATAACTGACCCTTTACTGTGGTTTTGTTCAATCCGTCCAGGGAAGGACCCTTTTGATTTATTCATGTGCCTTTAGTTGGTATTTTTGATCAGCTGCAGTTCATAAAAACTGAATAGTTGTGAATTACAAAAAAGTTTGCGCATAATCTCAAATTATGCTAAAACTCAATTATTGGTCAACTCTGGCTAGAACCCACTTTACAAGTTTTCAAACTTCAAAGCAACCTTGACAGAGCTCTTTAAAGAAACAATGTTAAAAAAAAAAAAAAAAACTTACGCCAACTGAATTTTTCTTTTTGAGCAACTTTACATGGGTTAAACGTTTGGCTTTGTATTGTGGCAAGATTATATTTGTGCTTTTTAACGTGATTACTGTACCAAAGTAATTTCCCACAAGCCAACATCTGATTATATTTGTATTTGATTTTGAGGGGAAAATTGTCAACTCCAGCTCAAGATATATATATTTTTTTTTTAAACGTCCACTTTGTGAGGTTTTCCTTCTGTGCTTCTTTTGTCTCCTGTTTTTGGTAGCTTGGAAAGCCTAACTTTTGTCTTATACTGCTTAAAATAACAGCAAAGCCTTTCTAAATATATGTAATTTTGCATCTGCGTAATTTGATCCTTAACTGCTGTACGGTTTGTACTGTAAAAGTTTACTTCAAATAAAATAAAAAAATTTGAGCAACTCTTTTGTACAACCACAAACTCTATAGAATTAACCACACGAGTTGTGCAGATCCTTTTTATTTTACTTTTTAGGTGTACAGCATCTTCAGATTCTGCTTTACATGGGTTTTGGAGGAGCTCTCGGTGCACCGGCCTGTTAAAATAAAAACAGTGAATCAATACATGCCTCACACTGCAGACATGCACATTTGTAAATTGTTTTTTAAACTCCGCTATGTAAACGTTCATTTCAAACTATTTGTAGTCTGACCTGTAAATGACTTTGTTTTGTTCAAAGATAGTGCAGTACTGACAGGCCATTAGTTGATCTGAAAGGATTTGACAACTCTATACTCACAGTGGGCCTGAATCTTGGTGGTGGGGTGCGGTCTTTCCTGGCCTCACAGGAGCGGTTTCTCACTACCTTGCTGTGGATGGCACAGCTGACACAGTAGTGCAGCTTCACGTAGAGCTTGGGCAGAACATATGCTGCAGAGAGCATGATACAGATCAGGGTCAAATACCAAAACTGCACTTGTGATACGACACATTAGATACAAATGAGGAGTTGGATACCTAAGATGAAAGGCACACTGGCTCAGAAAATTCACTTACAGTCAAAAACACTGGCCTCCGAGATGTCTCTCACGGCCGCCGCCTCCACAATGTTCCTGATGACAAACTTTTTAATGGCCTTGTCCTTGGGGACACAGCGGGCGCAGTTGGTGCAGCGGATGGGCTGCACATGCCCACGGCCCTTCTTGGCACGACCGTTATTTCTCCTTTTCTTGGTCTGTATAACAGAAAAAAGATTTTGAAATGTTTTTTTTTTTTTAAAGGTTCAGGAGCAACAGTTGATTAAAAGTTTCAAACAACTATTATAAACATACAGTATTTGACAACTCAACATTGTGCCTATGTCTATTTATTTCTATAGCACAAAACCAACAAGTTTACTCAAGTGCTTTTTTTTTTTTTTAAAGCAATAGATAAATATTCAAAAAACTATAATAAAATACAGAAACGCACCATAAAACCATTAGCTCTAACTGGATCTCAAATTCCAACTGAATTAAATGCCTTAACAAAATTATGGGGCTTGTGCATGAATCGAAGTCAGTTTCAGTGGCGCCATTTATGAAGCTGTCAACTATTCCACAAATTTGGAGCAACAGCAAAAAAAACAATCATCACTGCATTTTAATTTGGATTTAGAGACTTAAGAGAAACTGGTTGACCAGAGTACAGATGTTAAAGAGATTGCAAATAAGATGGTGTTAAGAGTTTAAAAAGAAAACAGTAAAATCTTAAAATCAACCTGGAAACAGACAGAAGGCCAAAGGAGAGAAGCCAGGACTGAAGTTACACATTCTTTAGTACCTGTTACGAGCTGTTGCATTCTGGACGTTTGCAAATGATACACAGACAATAATTCTAAAACATTGTTACAATAAGTTTGACTGAGAAATAAAAGCTTGAATTACTTTTTAAATCTTGATAGGAAGATTCGTCTTCACCTTGGTGATGACTCTTAATTGGTGGAGTTTTACAACTTCATTAATGTATTTGTCAAACTTAAAAGCACTAAATGAAGAAGACCTAAAACAAGGAGCTAAGAATACAATAATACAATTAATGAAGCTGAGGACTTTAATCCCATTTTCACAGAGATTAAGGTTGGTTTTTTTTTAACTGAGTTTTAATGTCATACAGACATTACAAGAGTGGTTTAAGTTGATTGATGCCTTCTAGCTTAATGAGCAGATGAACCAGAAAATTATGAGTAAAGCAACAGAAAGTGGTGTTTGCTCAAAATGGTCACCAAAAGCAACATATAGGTAAAAACGTAGTGGCTCTTTTATTGACCCTTGAGGGACCCCGTCCATGAGTTACTGTACTGACAATCTAGAGCTCCACTTCACCTGCGGTGGAGTATTTCAGTAAATGTGACTGCCATGGTCTGAAAATGCCATTTGAACCTCACAAAACGAGCCATAAAGATGTTACCATCATAAGATCACGTTTTTCACTTCATTGTGATGAAATAATAAATTCTGTGTCGTCTTGTAGTGATATTTTTTGACCAAGTGTTCATCATGAGATGGTTGCGGCATCTTGTACCAAGCGCCATTTCAAGACACAAACTTTGTACCGTGCGTTTACGAATTACCAAATTTAGGTCTTGAAATTGCTCGATTATGAACACATCTGAACTTATAACATTATAACTTATAACATTCACTGGGTCTTGGTTTATGTTAGTGGCGGAATATTTAGCTGCATCTGACCTAACGCATGCACAAAAAGGCTAGCATGCTAGCGGTTAGCATTAGGCCCCAAGTCATTTTTCACTCGCCTACAGAGATTTAAACTTCTGTTCTTAACACTGCGTGTTAACTGTGTATTTGTGACATCCAAAATACTATAATGATGTCAGAGATTTCGAGTAAAATGCAATAAATTTAGTTTGTTCCTGCCACCGTCAGTGAAACACACTCACCATGTTGCACGGGAAGCTGGAAAGAGGACCGGAAGAGGTTGAACCGAGAACAAAAATCAGTCCGCTCCGCCCTATATTTTTTTTAATTATGTAAAATTTTGATTTGTTATACTATTTGACATTGTTTTTAATATTGGAAAAATATATATTTTACAACTAAAAAAAAAAAATAATAAGCATGCTGTTTTATTTTGAACCAAAAGCTATTTACTATCTTAACTCGCGGAGGGATACAATCGAAATTTCCGGTTTTTCTCCCAAATTTTTATTACTCAAATGTAGATAAGTAGCATGACATCACCCAAAAATAAACAAAAGTAATGAATAAAATTGTGTTTTATTGATCGTATTTACCTTTTAACCCGTGGGATTATAAATCCTGTTTATGCTAATTAGTGACCTTTAGTTTTCCATCTGTTGTTCAAACTAAACCATCATGGACTGATTATTGTCAGAATAGCATTCAGAAACCTGTGTGAAATGCAAAAGTCCATGCTCGGACTGAATGTTTAAGTATTTTTTCTATGCTTACATGCAAACCAACTTTTTTTTTATTATACTTGGAACAAGAAAAAAAATTAAGATCTTATTTTAGTGAGATGTACAAATTTAATGTACAAACAGAATCTCTATTTGTATAACCTAATGCTCATCTGATGTTAGTATGTTGATATCTGATCCAAATTTATTTTTATTTATGTATTTAGCTGGTAATAAAATCTCATTCCTTTCATTTTGACTGCACTGAATTGATTCAATATAGAAAGATAAGGCCGTTTACAATGCTAGGCAGGTGTTAATGCTACCTGCAGCTGTTGTCAGTGCTGACCAAGCTTAAACACTTCACATTAATGGCAGGTTTGCCTTACACAAAAGTAGATTACATGTTGAATTGAGGTGTAAATGGTTTCATATCATTCTAGAACAGAATCAGCTTTATTATTGTTGTACCAAAATACAGTGAGATTATGTTCGGACAGTCGTCCGCCAGATGGGCAGAGTGCACGTTGCTGCTGGTACTGGAGCGCAGCCCCTTATTCTTTTTCAAAACACTTTTTTTAGATAGAAAAGGGGAAAAGTCCATGAGAGTAGGATAGTGGCTTTATAAAAAAAAGATCTTCACACCTTGTCCCATCAGGATGATTTACGACATATGTCAAACTCAAGGCCCAGGGGCCAAATGTGGCCCTTGTTAACATCTTGTCTGGCCCCCAAAGATGTTATTTAAACGTAAAACACTTTTTATCACTTTAATTTTTTCAGTAATCTTTGATTATGATGTCCAAAGTGCAACAAAGAATGTCAAATGAGACCAATCAAACTCTTGCTGAGGAATCTGCAACCAAGAAAAGATGTTGTGTATCTAACTTGAGTTAATGTAGATTCTGAAACTGGTCCTTACTTTGAAAAAGGTTTTAATGTTGGCCCCCTTTTGTAAGTGAGTTTGACACCCCTGATTTAAGACATCTAAAAATTTCTTCCAGCAAGCACATTTATAAACACGTTACATGTGTATTTGACTGCAAGGCCATGAAGCACTTCCAGATAGATGATAGATAAGATGTTGGTCAGCCATCAGTTCTGATAAGCCTTCACAGAAGTTCTCGGTTGTGATAGACAAAGCTTTTCCTTAGTTTACATATAACGCGGGAGAGTTGATAAGTCAGCCTGTTTTCGAGGCCAATCGGGGGAGTGAGATTCAGATAAGTCACAAGTGTTGATTTTTTTTTTTTTGGTCAGCCTTGAGTCCTACTGGATCCAAAATGGCCAGATTAGTGGGGATTCCACTGGTCTGTGATTACAAGGCTTCTCCAAGGTCATCTTCAACATGCTGGCGAGTCCCAAAGACACATGTGGCCTGCGATTCCCATAAAACGCTTCATTCGTAGTTTATCTCGTAAATAAGCTGATTTTGAGTACTCGAAGCACGAACCAAACCTTCACACAAACTTGGCAGTATTGCCATTGCTGAAACTGCTGCCGCCATCTTAATAGCCGATAGCGTTGGAATCCAGCGATGCCAGAGCAGAAACCCTGTTATCATAAATCCAATTATATAACATCTTGGGCATCCTCCTGAGACAGAACAGAAAGACACATCAGCTCCCATCCATGACATATCCTGCCATGTGAGTCTCAGGGGCATGAGGGCTCTCCAGGAGCCTGTCGCTTTGTTGAAAAGATTGTGTCGATTGCATTGAAAGTCCAGCTGACCAGCTCCATGACAGTAGTTTTAATTGTGGAAGATGTGTAACAGGAGCTCCGATACAGAGAGCAGAAAAAAAGCAGAACAGGCATCCACATTGCACGAGAGCAAGTGCAGAAAGCTGAACAGCTGTCCTATCTGAAATCTACCACTCCAAAAAAAAAAGTTCACAATATGACAAATTGTCTTGTGAAAGCTGAACAGCTGTCCTATCTGAAATCTACCACTCCAAAAAAAAAAGTTCACAATATGACAAATTGTCTTGTCAGTGGCAGAAAATCTCAGACCTTGAACCAAAATTGAGTGCAAAAATAAACACTAACGTGGTTGATAATTTACAGTACGTAATTCACCAAAATTCAAATTCAAATTTTCAACAGTAATACATTAAATTCTTGTCGTACACAATCTGCAACTGAAACAACACGAAGAACACAGTCATTTAAAAAGTTTATTGAATTTTGTGCCTTGTCCTTATTTCTTCTTGCTCTTCTTATCTTTGGCCTTCTTTTTGCTCGGCTTCTCGGCGCTGGCCTTTTTGTAGAGGTAAAGCCCCACCAAGCCGAGCAGAGCGGGCACCAGGGCCAAACACATGAGAGGGAACACATCGTTGATCATCTTCTGCCACGGCGTCTGTTGTGATAGTGAGATCACCTCCACATCGAACTGCAGAACGGCGTCACCTGAAGCAGATTCAGGACATTTACTGACGTGCAAGTTAGTCGACATGGATGCAACACATTTTGGTTTGTGCCAAATCTTAAATACTAAACATGATGCAAAACTGTTTTCCTTAAAATTTCCATTTGTGTAGAAAATACATGCACGTAAAAGTTTGTGTATGTCACGAACTATGATGAACAGAAGACTAAAAGATTAAAACGTATGCTTAAATGTTTGTGATTATAAAAAAAAACCTTTTGCTGCAAACAATGCACAAACAGACCAAAACTTTTAGCATTTCAAAATGGTTTATTCTGTAAAACTAGATACTTATATCATATTTATCAAACTCCTAATGACACCTATATGATTTTTGAGTTTATTTGTTGAGTACCTGGAATTGTAGGGGGGTAACCTTTTTTTCCATAAGCAAGATGAGAAGGAATAGTGGCTCTGATTTTTTGCCTGAATAGAAAAATGAAAAAGATTAAAAAAAAAACCAAAAAAAAACATGGACATTGTTTTTTGACACTGACTAAATGTGTTAAATGTGAGGTGAACTTTGCTTTATCCACGTACCCTTCACACACACCAATCAAGCTTTGCTCCAGACCTGGTAAAAAAAATAAATTAATGAATAAATCACAGTCAATCGGCAAAAGCAGCACATTCTGTGACAAAAGAAAAATAGTCCTGCCATCACATTTGAGCAAATTACTGACAATTCATGCCTGCAAGTTCAAGGATGTGTGGCCGCTTGTTAGCTTACCAGCAATAACCGTCCTCTTGCCCAGCTCGACAACGAGAGGATCCCTGGACAGTGATGAGTCGATCACCTTCCCATCCATCAGTTTCCCCTGATCAATACACAATTCAACAATGAGAAACGCTTAAATCTCAGAGAAGTGTTCGGTTAAATGTCTGAATTTGGTGTTTAAAGTGTATTTTTTCATGCAAGAGACGACCAACGTTCAATTAAGGTTGGAGAAATTATGGTCAATTGTTCTTTAAGACTTTGAAAAAAAAAACTAACATTGTGCTAAAACAAGAAACAATCTGACAGTCTGTTTGTTAGGGACAACAAAAAGTATTTTTGTAAAGTAAGTTTGAGTGATTATTTGAAAAAAATAAATAAATTTTTTTCAGTTTTGATGGTGAGTGATAATGTTTGTGCCGGTGTGTTTGTGTGACTGTCTGTTAGCAAAATATCTCACGAATCACTGGATAAAGTTCAAAGACACTCACAAAGAGTAATCGATGGACATCTGTCTACATATGATTAACTTTTGGAGTCGACCTGATTCAAGATGGCCGCTACACCCAACTGATCTTCAAAAACACAAAATGGGATATAACTCAGTCAGTTTTACAGATATTCTACTATCATTTGCTGTGGTGGTAGCTGAGATTGATCCCCAACACAGTCTGAATGGTGTAGTCTACATTTTTGTAGTGGGTATATCCCAGTAAAGTTAGTTTTACGTTGGACATTGGACACCCCTGAAGCCGTGGAGCACGAACGTCCATCGCAAAACTAACTTTACTGCCGTCGGTTACTGTGCTTAGAAACCAAAGTACACTGGTTAGTACAATTTAATCGTCAATTTATTTAGTTTTAAGCATATTGAACATTTCCAAATTTCTCTGATGCTTATATTTGATTAAATGAACAACAAACTTTGTGCAACAGTTGGTTTTGTATTAAAAACATGTTATAGAATTTATAAAACAGTAAGTTTGTGGTGGATGGGTTCACTGCTGAGAGCCAATTTCACCATTGTATGAGAACATACAATGATGACAATACATACACATTATTATTATTAATTATACAATAACTTGCTGGATTAGTGAACGTAATAAACAAGCTCTGCATACTGATAGATTGTAACAGAAGCGTTTCACTGTCGTTTAACATATCAATGACACGTGCCTGATGATGTCATTGGGCACTTTTAAGTGGGTATAAGCTTTTCTAGTGGGTATACTCCGTATAACCGCGTATCACATGGGCTACACCACTGGTCTGATCTTTGCAAAATAAAATAAAAAAGCATTAAATGTAGGATAATCTTTTTTGTCTGTTAGCAAAATATCTCATAACCCACAGGACAGATGTGAAAGAAACTTTCAGGGAATGATCAATGACTGAACATTGTCACACACTTTGCTGCTGTCCCTCAAAGCCACGCATTATCTCATATGTCCTTTGGAATTCAACTCAATTCAAAAATACTTTATTCATCCCAAAGGGAAATTGTTTGTTGTTGTAACTCGTTATCCTCATTTCATTAAGACTTCTGTAGACAGGAAGGATCTCTTGTAAAGGTCCATCCCACAGTGGATCCTAAGAAACTGGCTGCAGATGCATATTATTATAGGTGATAGTTAAAAAACATAAGCCCTCCCAACCAGTTTAAAGCATGCACTGGTCCCATTAAAGGGCCAGAGCTGTGACTGCTGACGTGTTTCACCTTCGGTCCCACAGTGCAGACACCAGATAAGACACATGAAGCACATGGAGACACGCATTAAACCAGGACATGTCCAGTCTGTCTCTCAGGACACCTGAGCCTGAAGCTTTTTGTGTTCGTTTCTTGCTCAGGCTCAGAGAAGAGCAGCGGACCCGCATGCTTCATGCAGACTGTGCCACATATACAACTCGTCATTAACTGGGCTGGTCCGGACCTTAAAGGGGAAAAATCCTCCTCAGACAGTTCGTTTAGGGGTTTTTTTTGTTTGTTTTTTGTTTTTTTTAATGAGAAAAGTGCGTGTTTGACTTACTGTGTAGTGGATTTGAAGCGTGTCTCCTATTTTAGAGGGCGCGGAGCAAGTTTCGGGCTTCACCTAAAAAGAGTCCGGAGAGTAAATGTTGATTCTGTGCTGCTGCAGTAAAAACATGACGGTGTTATAAAGAGTTATTACTCACCAACGTCTCCACCTGCAGCTCCTCCGCAGCATGCTCTTCATCCTGAGCGAGTCCACAGGCGCAGATGGCGGCGACCAGGAGCAAAAACATTGCTGTTTTCATGGTGAACTTTAGTGGGAAAGCTGCCATCTGGGAACTTGCGGCTAGCTGCTGCTTCTTCTTCTTTTGTAGCCGGCGGGAGCAGAGAGGTCAGAACCAGCTGCTCCGTCCGTCGATCGCTGTGCACAAAAATGGCTCAGCAGCAGGTAATGCTGATGTGTTGTAAAGCCGTGGCGATAAGGACTAGCGGACCGAGGACGATGTCCCTGTGTCCCACCACCTGGGTCCCCCCCAAAGAGCCCGCCTCAAACATTCCTCCAGCAGCATCCCATCAGGCAGCGGTGGCAGGAAGGCGGAAGCTGTGCTCCGCCGCGGCGCTAGGGGGCGCTGCCGTCCGGCCTCAGCACACAGACCACGCGTTCCAGTCTGGTTCTGTTGCGCCTACAACATTATTACTTATTACAACATTATTATTCCACCAACACGAAGGCCATAAAAACTTATGTGTTCTCTTCAATATATTTATGTAATATGTTGTTGTAAATTATTGTCTCAGTGTTTGTAACCCCCTGGCGTCTGTTATATCATTACTGTATACTGCATTTTATTGTATTGTTTTGTACTTTTTCAATAAAGATTAAAAAAAAAATACAAAATTATTTCACTAGACTCGTGAATGTTTTTAATTTATCATGTCCTACTACATCAGCTGTTTCTATGTTTGTTTCTTCGTCTTTGACAGCAATTCATCCTCCTAACCTACATTTACCCATATATATCCTTTGTCTTTTTCCTGGCAGCTGAATTTCGAACAGCCTTCTACCAATATACCCACTGTCCCTCCTCTGGACATGTCCAAACCATCTCAGTCTGGCCTCTAGTTTGTTTTCACCTGTGCTGTACCTCTGATGATCTCATTCCTAATCGTGTCCATCCTTTTAGTTCCTATAAGGAGAACCTCAACATCTTCATCTTTCAGTTCTTTCTGCTGTTTTTTTTTTTTTTTTTTTTTTTTGTGTGTGTCAGTGTCACTGTCTCCAGGCCATACAACATAGCATGACAGCACGATGGTTTGACCTGGGGTCTTTCTGTATGGAGTTTGCATGTTCTTCTCATGCTTGCAAGGGTTTTCTGTGGGTACTTTGGTTTCCTCCCAAAAACCATAAACATGCATGTCAGGCTGCCATCAGTCCCAGGCCTCCCTTGCAAAAGAGATCTGTGGTCTCAATGGGATTTGCCTGGTTAAATAAAGGTTAATAATAATAGCTGGTCTCACAACTGTCTTGTAAATCTTTCCTTTGACCTTTTCTGCTGAGCAACACGGTGGCGCAGTTGGTAGAGCTGCTGCCTCTCAGCTAGCAGGTTACCCCAGTTCAAACCCTGGTCTGGGGGGCTTTCTGAGTGAAGTTTGCATGTTCTCTCTGTGCATGTGTGGGCTTTCTCCAGGTACTCCGGTTTCCTCCCACAGACCAAAAACATGCATGTTAGGCTGATTGGTGACTAAATTGTCCCTAGATGTGAGTGAGAGAGTGAATGGTTGTTTGTCTCTATGTGTCCCTGTGATGGACTCGCGACCTGTACAGGGTGTACCCCGCCCCTCGCACAGTGATAGCTGGACATGGGCACTGGTGACCATCGTGACCCAAAATGGAATAAGCGGGTAAAGATAATGGATGGATGGATGGATATATATATATATATGGTATATAATGGTTCATTTTGTAGACCATTTTTTGATTACATTACCTGCTAAACTCATTACCTGCTAAAACTATGTTGACTGATTACTGGAGAAAAATTAAAATGGTTGACCTTGAACCAGACTCTTCTTTATAGGCTGTTTAGGATCTTAATAACACTCTAATAACGAAAATGTTGGGATTTTGAATCAAATTTCTGTTAATTCAAACATATGACAAAAAAAAAAAAAAATCCAATATGGAGCTTTACAATTCAATGTTTCAGAAGATTTTTTTTACACATCTTCAACTCTGATCTCTTGGTGATCCAGTTGGGGCAGAAGTCATAAACCTGTCATAAACTTCATCAACTAACTGTTTGTTAGCAAGAGGTAAATATTTCTGACAAGATAAAATGAGACTAATTGCATGTTTTAATTTGTGTGTTTACATAGTTCCTAAATAAATGCCTTGAATTTAATGCTTGTGGTTCTTGTGAAATTTCAACTTAAAGGTAAATGTGAAATTAAACTTACTGTTTAATTACATGCAACATTTTTAATCAACAAACAAGAGACGCTGTAGGAACTGCCGGTGATATAAAGACCTGTTATCTTCACCTATGACTCATAGCTTTGCTTATTTTTAGTCAAACGTGAGAGCATCATGCCAGGCGTAAACCTTCCCTTGGTGATGTCAGAAGGCCACAAAACGTCAGCAAGTCAGACATAAAGTTGTTCAGATAATGTGACATTAGTAAATGTACGACATTATAAAAACTACAGTCAAGTCACCAAGAAACATTCAGGCGAACACCCATACTGTATGTTATATGTTATTATGTGATGATTTTAGTCTTCTTTCTTTAAAAGTACATATATCTTGATGTCATTCACAGCAAACGCTATCTTAAATGCATGCTAGTAAATATTTATTTATTTGTTATAATCAAAATAGATAGTTTATGTCAGCTTTTGGTACTTGTTCAACTCCAAACTTATTTAAAAGACCTCCAAACGTGCACACACCAAATGGGATTTCAAGAAGTGATCTTCAATGGACTGCAGAATCTGTGGGTTAAACAAACCTGTCACAAAGGAGCAGGGTCTGTTAGGTTAATGCAAACACAAGATGATGCACATCAGTCCACACTGCTCATCACAATAAAGAAGCATTCTCAAACGTAAAGCACGTGGCTTAAATGTTATAGAAACATCATGAAATCAATTATTTGAAATGAAACCTGACTGTCTGAAAACTTAGACAGCAGACAAACAGAGACTGATGACTCAGCTCTGAGCAAACTGACAATAAAATACACTTCCTCCACTAAACCAGAACAAGATAAATGCATGCTGGTTAAACCACTTGTTTGCTTTTTTTCTAAATATTAATTGAATATTATTGGAAATTCAGTGATTAAAACAACCAACATTATCCAATAAGTCAACAACAAAAAACAAAACAAAAAAGATCTATTTAATCCAAATTAATCTACTTACTCAAATGTTGCCTGTCAGTCAGTTCTGGATGACAGTACAGTCATTACATTACACAGAGAAGTAGTTTCATAAATATTGCTCAACTTTGGTTCAAGTTTGTTAAATTTAAAAAAAGCATGGGCTTGTAAAATCTCTTTGTTTTAAGGTAAAACATGATTTGTGAATTTGTTGTTTTGCATATTAACATGCAGGTGAATCATCTAAAAATGTTTTTATTTGACTCCTGATAAACTTTGTAGGTTGATTTGTAGTGTTTTTAATAAAATTAAATTTAAAAAAGCATACGTGATGCCTCTGTTGTGTGTGACAATTCACATTTTTTGAAATGCTGTGGAATGTGCATCACAGCTCACTTTGACATTTAGTTTAAAGTATCAGATACATTCACACATCTAAACAAATCTGATTAATTATACATATATTCCGCAGCATGATGTCAACCAAAGACATGAGCCCCCACAGAGTCCTGATCCCATCATCATGATGTCTGGCTTTACATGACTAAACAAAGAGAGAGTGTCTAAATGATATTAAAAGCAGGAAACAAAGTTACATAGTTTAACCTCAGATTACTTGTACTGAGTGTGCGCTTAGTTACATTCTCCCAGTGAATGAAAATAACATTTTTAATACTGATAACCTACTTGTGTTTAGACTAATTGCCTGATTTCTCTGTTAATTGTGTTGCCAGTGGTAAAACCTGGAATATATGAGGCACAGTGAAGACATAACCAGCAGGTATAGAAACATTAGCTCCTGCCCTGTAAGACGAATCAAAACGAAAACTTGGTGATCTCTGTTAGAGCCACGACCACCGCAGATATCAAGCCACGAGTGTGGGAAGACAGCTGATAGGCCATGTTGACCATCGAAAACAGGTAAAGCCCCTGTGTAATCAATAATAACAAAAAGGACCTGTTGCAATGATTTCCATGTTGAGCAAACAGGCACCACCTTAAAAAGCTTTTACTGCAGCCAAGTGTTGGAACACAAATGTGTTTCAATTTTTCTGTTAGTCTTTTAGCAAAATATTTCCTGAGCAACTGGATGATTTTATTGAAACTTTTACAAAGTAAACATAAGATGCACCTCTACAACTGATTACCTTTGAGAGTCAATCCAATTCAAAATGGCTGTCACAACTAATTAATATTTGCTGACACAGAAATGGCTAAGTCAGTCAACTGAATGTGGCAGTAGCAGCAACAATATAGTAGTAGTAGTAGTAGTAGTGGTAGTAGTATGCATTTCTTCAAGGAATGCTAGGCCTTTACTTAGATCTTTGTTTATATTGTAGTAGGGTAGTGGATGCCATTCATTCCAGTTAACAAAGCTAATGGGATTTTTGTTTTTTTATGAGAAAAATAAAACACAATACAGGGTTCTGATCTTAAAAAGAAAAGTGTTTAAACAATTAGACTTTTTTTGTTAGGATCTGTCTTACTCAGGGACAGGCAATATTTTGTTTCCAGGGGAGCAAATTGAGTTATTTAAACCAATAAAAGGGCCACAGAGAAGACTGGAAAAGACTTTGTCCTTAAGACAGATAATCTGAATGAAATTCCCATGTCTTTTCTTGTTATAGAATAGTAGGTATTGCTTGGTTAAAAAAAAAGTATCCCCAATACCTCCAGGAATATAATCTGTAAATTGGCTCTCTTGTGACAACACTCATATAAAATATGCAACAACAATAACAATTGTTATATCAAGGTTCAAGGTTCTTTAATGTCAATTGCATCACATGTGGTCCATGAGGTGGAACAAAATTGAGTACTCAAGATCCCAATTACACCCAAAATAAAAAAAAAGTATACAAAGAAACAGTACTTAGAATATCATATAAACTAAGAAATACACTAAACTAAGAAATACGCTAAACACTAATAGTGCAAAAGAATTTGCCCAACAACAACTTTACGAACATGAGGCTGTGTGAGTAGATGAGTACGAATGAACACAGCAGCATGAACTAAATCAACAGCATGGATAATCAGCAGCACATATCAACAATTAAAGTTGCATTACAGTGATTTTTTTTTCTTCACAGTGATAATCCTGATTAGGGATTCATGACACTAACAGCCTCAGGGTAGAAGGGGAGCGGGGCAAAAAGTGTGTGTGCTGGGTGAGTGGGATCCTTCATGATGCAGGTGGCCCTCTTCCTGCATCTGGAGGTGTAGGTGTCTGTGATGGTGGGGAAGCTGACTCCAACAGTCTTCTGTGCAGCTTTCACCACTCTCTGCAAAGCTTTTCTTGTTGTGCTTTTTATATTATGTGTATGTATGTGTATGTATATGTTATATATAAAGTATATGTTTGCTTTTTGGAGTCTTTGAAGTTATCTTAATTCATTCATTCAACCTTTATTTAGACAGGTTAATCCCACTGAGCCTCGGGGACTCATTTGCAAGAGAGATCTGAATTTTTAACAAAGAGTGATGACAACAGTGGACAACAATGACAACAATAGGCAATCAATGTGTACAAATATTTTTTTTTAACAAGTTAATATAAAATGGCAACCAAAAGGACAATCAAAAGGAAAAGTAGTGAAAAAACAGCTCGATTACGAGGTGGTGTAGAGAACAGGAACATGTCTGCATTGGTTCTTGCCAGGAACTTAACAGACATTTAAAGCCACTTATAGAGGTCAAGGTTGAGAGCTTCACATCTTTTTGCAAAATATTCCAGGAAACAGGAGCGGAGTAGGAGAAGGCCCTTTTGCCTAGTTCAGTCCGCACTGAGGGAACACTGCAAGTAATAATGTCCTGAGAGCGCACGCTGTAGCTGCACTCATGCAGAGACATGTAGGAGGAGATGTAAGAAAGCAACAGACAAAGAAGTGATTTAAAGATGAAAATGTACCAGTGAGAGAGTCTGCGTGAAGTTAATGATGTCCAGTTAACCAGTGAATACAGGGTGCAATGGTGGGTATGATAGCCATTTATGAATCTTAATGCACCACGATAGACAGCATCCAACATCTGCAGGGTGCTTGCAGGGGCGTTCATATAAATGTCAACATAGTCAATGGAGGGAAGGAAAGTCGCAGTTACAAGGCGTTTCCTAGCATTCAGAGTTAGACAGGATCTATTTCTGAAAAAGAAACCCAGTTTAACTTTCACTTCCTTTACCAAATTTCAGCTTAAAGAGAGATGCGAGTCGACCAAGATAACCAAATAGTTGTAGGAATCAAAAAACTCAATAGGGACACCATTAAAGGATGGGTAAACATGGGTAACACTTCTTGTAAAACCATCGTATTCAATAAGAAAGTAGCCATAAGTATGAACACAGTGGGACAGTTCATTTTTTACAGGGTTGTTTGTAGTCTCGCGAGATTTCATTTACTGCTGAGCTGTGCGCCGTGCAAGTCTCGTGAGACGTTTAGTAGTGGACCGCTCGGGTAAAAGGTAAGTGGGGACGCTGACCGCACCACCAACCGACGCCGTACATATCAGGAAGGTCCCAGGTTATGGATACCTACCAGGTGACAGAATAGCAGCGGGGAAACGTGTCTTGTTGTAGCCGCGTAGAGTCGGTGTTAGCCGGGCAGAAGCAGCTCAGGATGTCCGCTGCGGAGGGATGGATGAGGTGGATCGGGACGGTTCCGACGCTAACCGACACATGCTGTCGTTCAGACGCCATCAAAACCTAAATAGTGACTGATAAATGAAGTTAATTTATATAAGACTGAAAGGAAATTGGTCCGAGTATGCGCTGAGATGAAACGTCGCCGAAGCGGAGATATTTTCGATGCGCTGCTATAACAGCAGTTACGGCCGGGCACGATGGCTGCGTAAGATTACCGTAATGTATGAAACAGCTGAGGCACCGGCGCATCGGGCCCTGCTGCTCCCATTATTATTTTATTTTTTATTTATACATGTAGCCTCATTGAGTCATGAGAACTCATTTTCCAGAGAGACCTGTTTGGGAGCAGATGTTGGAGACCTTGCTCAAGGGTCCAGGGTGGGGCAAATGAGGGTGGTCTTGGGTGTGGGTGTTTCACCTTTTCCACCCACATTTTGATGTTGTCAGTCCAGGGAGTTGAACCTGCGACTTTCCGATCGCAAGCCCATCCTCTCTAACCTCTGCGCCACCGTCCCCCTGTTAAAGCTGTATTCAGTCAGGCAGCCTTGTCTTTAGCACCAAGGACAGGGTTTGTTAAAGCAAAACAGTTTTTATGGTTGAATTTACTTTGCAGCCTGTATTTTCATTCTAGCAGACTCGAGTCCTAATCAATGCATTAATTTAAACATAAAGTAACATTTGTCAGATAAAACATAACATGTATAACAGGATCAAAATGACTTATAAACATTTTATTTGAATACTATTCCTTATGGTGTGTAGTAGAAGAAGGTTCTTTTATGACAGGCTGTTGAACATTGTGAGATTGATAACTTGAACAGGGCAAAAGAAAATGAAGGGGGGGAATTCATTAAATTAATGTAGTGATGTATTAATTAACGTTCAGATGTGGGGGTTAATGGCCTTGCTCAAGGGCTCAGAGTGGGGCTAATGAGGGTGGAGGCAGGTGCAGGTGTTTCACCTTTTCCACCCACATTTTAACATCGGTCCGGGAGTCGAACCAGTGACCTTCCGATCACAGGCCCACCTTGTCTTAACCTCTGCGTCTCCCCACTCCCCAAGTTTGTGTGTTTGTCCATTGCGTTAGCAAAATACCTCATGAACCGTAACAATTACCATTTGGAGTCAGCCCCAATTCAAGATGGCCACCAAAGCAGATGCACCTTAGCAAACCCAAAACATGGCTCAGTTAATTTTACATACTGTACATTTTTTACTTAAATCTGGTATGTTGGTAGCTGAGAGTCCCTCAGCACTCTGGGCTCTACAAATTGTGCAATACTTTTGCTCAAAACTTTAGCATTAACTATTAGCATCAACACAGTCTGTTAGTTAAATATTTTACAAACTACTGGAAGATTTTTTTTGTAAAACTTCCAAATAGTTGCCAGAGCAAATTGACCGTAGCCAGCACAAAAATGGCTTTAACTCCGTCAGTTTTACAGATATCAGAGTGTACTTCGAGGACTCTCACACCTTACAGGATCTCACAGTATTGCCACGCATGAAGTGATTATAAAGTTTGACCAAAACAGCTGTAACTCCATCTCTTCTCAGCACAAGATTATTTAAGGTTAGTAAAAAGCAGTTGGTGGTAACGATAATATTAGGCCTTCTGTTCTGGCATTGTGATGCGATCATGTTAAATATGTTCAAGCCATGCCTGCTAATGTGGGACATGTTGCATGTGCTGTGGGGGCTTGGCGTTGTTGCAGTCGAACGTTTGAAGGAAGAAAAAAAAAAAATGCAGTGAGAAGCGTCTGAACAGATTGCACTGTCGCCTGGAGTCATGACGCAGACATGCATCTCTTCCTTCTGTCATGATAACTCTGCTCCCGTTATGAGTCGTGCATTTTCATAAGTAGCAAGATACAGTTTGATAAATACAAGAGAAGGCATAAGATGAATTATTTTATTTAGTCAGATTACCATTTTAATAATTCAAGTCAGGAATACACAGTCACTAAAAAGTTATGTTTTGTTTTCTTTCAGCCCCAGCAAGACGACTGATAAATAGCTGAAAGACCTGCAGCACCACAACCCAAGCCACGACACGTAGAGTTTGAGAAGCTCGTCCGAATCATGGGGAACATTTTTGGGAACTTGCTGAAGAGCCTCATAGGAAAAAAGGAGATGAGGATCTTGATGGTTGGGCTCGATGCTGCAGGGAAAACGACAATTCTGTATAAGCTCAAACTGGGGGAAATAGTCACTACAATTCCAACAATCGGTGCGTTCTTGGGAGTTTCACCTTTATTCACGTTAACGATCGATTGCAGCGCTCGTTTGTCTTATTGTGTAATGTTGTTCCTCTTTGCAGGATTTAATGTGGAAACGGTGGAGTACAAGAACATCAGCTTCACCGTGTGGGATGTGGGTGGACAGGATAAGATCCGGCCCCTCTGGAGGCACTACTTCCAAAACACGCAGGGTGATGAGAGCTTATCAGACAGCAGCCTAAAAGCCTCGCTTCCTCTTTAGAAAATGATGTATTTAACACCTTTACGTTTGGCTGTTTCAGGTCTAATCTTTGTGGTGGACAGTAATGACAGAGAACGTGTGAACGAAGCTCGAGAGGAGCTGATGAGGATGCTGGCAGAGGATGAGCTGAGAGACGCAGTGCTCCTTGTCTTTGCTAATAAACAGGTAAGTGATTAATACTGTTCTGGACTAAATACAGAAACTGCTTTGTTGTAGATGCAAGCTTTCTGTTTCTTGTTCTGTTTATTTATCTATTTATATTATTAAGTCAAATATAGTTTTAACTTATAGACCAATATATAAATGACAAAAAAATAGTTGTTTTTTTTGAAAAGGGAGAAGGACATATATCAAAATTATTGTAGCACACCTGAACATTTTCAACATTCTTGACAATTAAACACTTTGATTTGAAACAAAACCAAATATGCCTAATATATTTTTGTAGATTTTTATGTTCAAAATACAAAAAAATTCTCAAATCATGACGTTAATTAAAGCCACAATTAGGAGCTCCTTAGGGAAGGAATGTTTGGAACCATTTTTTTTTAAAGTGACATTTAATGTGATAATCAGGACCTGCATTTTTGTAGTGAAGCGTGCTTATGTTGTTAGAAAAACACCAAAAGAAGAAAGAACAAAGATATATATTAAAAGTTTTATAAAGGTATATCAAGCAAGTTAACTTTCAAGAAATGGTTCACAAGTTGTGTCAAATTTAAATAATAGTTTTCTTTTTTTTTTCAATACTGCCCATCCCAGCAAATTAATTTATAAAGAAGCTAAATCAGACCTTGTGATGCTTTTTTTTTCTTAAGTTGAAACTCAGAAAGAAATATCCCAAATTAACATTTTGGGTCAAATACTAATTCTGTTAAATATGAGAAGATTCAAACAGAAACTTCATGCCAGAAACATCTCAAACATCCAGCTGAATGAGATTTTCTTCACATTATTTCTTAAGAGTTATGAAGCTGATGTCAGACACTGACGGGTAAATCTGCAAACACCCTGAAGAAATGATTCCATCAAAAATGATGATGCAACTCCCAAGGAAACGTGTAAAATTTCTTTTTTTTCCCAGAACAATCATGTTTCTGGGACATATAATAAAATATTTATATATATTATAATTTTTCATTATTATGAAAAAGCCATTAATTTTCACTTTGCAGAAATACTTATTTCTTAGCTGTTTCTAAGGTTAAAAGATAAACCTGATCATATATTCAGTTCTTTGTACTTTATTTATTTAGAATAATTTCTCAACAAGAGTAAACTCAGAGCCATTAAACAAGACAAAATTTGAAATTTATATTAATATAAATAAAGTCTAATTCCATCCTCTTCTAATACAATTTACATGGATAAAAGTTATACGTTGTTAGGAGGAATTTCCATCGTTTTGAATGTGACCAGGATGGATTTCTGTCATCGGAAAAAATGAGGAGGGGGGCAGAAACGTGTGTTCTGTGGTGGTCTTGTTAAAGCCCTCCAATAATAAAGATACTGACGCTGCTTTCAACCAATAAAGAGAACCAGAGCCGCAGTTTGACCCAATCAGAGCAGAGCAGGGCGGGTCCTGCTGCCTGGTTCACAGTGAGCCCGGGTGTGAGCAGCAGAGAGAAACTGCAGGTGAAAGCTCACCTGCAGCAAGTCAAGTAGGACACCCCCCTGCCCTAACAGAACTGCCCGCCCCTTCAGGAAGGTGATGACATCATTAAACGTCTACGTATTAAATACAGTAGTCCCTCATTTATCGCGGGGATCCCGTACTCTGAATTCCCGCGATAAATGAAAAACCACAAAGTAGGAACAGCAGTACAAGTAGTAAGTAGTAGTTTGTTTTAATATTTATATATGTTAAATTAAATTTATTTATTTATTTATTTATTAAGGTGTTTCAAACCCTTCCCATGCTCTTGCAATATTCTAAACAATGTTTCTAAACTGTAAAGCTCTAGGAGAGCACAGAATGTCATGATTTCAGCTCCCTGCCTCGTCTGTTCTTGGCCACGCCCACTTCTCCGCTCTGCATGGAAAACAGCTGATCAGCTGCAGCAGGAAGTTTATCCTGTAGCTCTGGGCTGCACAAATGTGCAGCAGGTACTAGGTCATTTAAAATAATTTATTTTAGATAAAAATTACATGCCGATCGTGCGGCTCATCTATCAATCAGCCAACTGTGTGTCATGTCCAATCTTATTTAGAAAAAATGCGACTGAGCGAGTCCATGATAAAAGAACCACAAAGTAGCGATGGACTACTGCATATGTGTACGAACATGACCAATTCACTGCAGCCGGGGGAGATACTTGAACTGATACATCCCACCCCCTCCTCCTGCACGTTCAGCCCCGACCTCCTCGGGACTTTTGCATCTAAAATCTTAGTTTGTATTAAATGTTAATGTACTGGGAGTGTCGCCATCATTGTACAGACATTGCGCATGAGACCAAACTCCAGGTTGGAGGGACAGACATGTGCACAGCCTGTTGTTGGGTAACCTCTAAATGTAGAAAAAAAAATCCAGTCAAGATTTTTTCTCTGATTTAATCCCAGTTTATCAGAGTTAGTCATCGAATAAACAATGGTTGCTTTCAGTCTCACAAAGATGACATCATATTGATGAGATTTGGGAGTAAAGCTTGACTGGGACACCTCCAGCTGGAATATCACATTTTTATCTGAGTAACCCAGTGATGCAAAACTGATGTAAAGATTTATATATTAAAAAATAAATTGCATGAAGCAATATGACATTTTAGAGATTGGCTTCGTTTCAAGATGGCAGCAGTTGACTTTTGCTCTTCCGTCCAGTCATAATTAAACTCTGTTTCTCCAAACTCTCCCCACTTTGACAGGACTTACCGAATGCCATGAACGCTGCCGAGATCACAGACAAGTTGGGCCTGCACTCCCTCCGCCACCGCAACTGGTACATCCAGGCCACCTGCGCCACCAGCGGCGACGGTCTGTACGAGGGCCTTGATTGGCTGGCCAATCAACTCAAGAACAAAAAATAAGTGGGAGACTGGGAAAAGCAGACGCCCAAATCCAATTTTTTATTTCTTTCTCTCATCCAAGGAGGGAGGTTTGGGTTGGATTCAAAAGTTTTGATTGGTGTGTACAAAAAATGTTCAGAGTCAGGAGGAGGTCCGGTTTAGTTTTTAGTAGTTATTTTAAAAAAAATCTCCAGTTCATATCTAACTACACACTGACTAACCAGTTACAACAGACACTTGATTTTTCTCCATCCACTTGTTCTTAGGTGAAATGTTCTGTGTTGGTCTCCAGGTGCGGTGCTGAGTCAGTCTGATGTCACTTGTCTGGTTTTTGTTTCACCTCTACGTCACCCATCCAAAGAAAAGTCTCGTTTCGTGTTAATTTGTTACTTTCTTATTTCCTGCAGGGTAACAGCCATGTTTGAGAACAATTACATCACAGACCATTCACAGCAGCTTCTAACAATGGGTTGTTCTCCCCTCTCATTTGTGAGCCATACTGAGCACTTTGATACTCATATAGTGTTTAGATTTGTCTTGGCGTGTCTTTTGTGTAAGCAGCTCAGGCGTTAACGGTAAACAGCTGTTGCAAACAAACATCTCACCACTACATTTTAGGAAACTTTTTTTGTTTTAAACACTTGATTGCCTGATCTGCATGCGTTCTGCTCACATCTCCATCCTCGGAGCTGCGTTGATGTTCGTAGATTTTCCTCCGTGTTCTCACAACAGGAAGCAAAAATAAAAGTAGAAACATTTGCTTGTCAGCTCTAATGTGAGAGCAGTACGTACCGTATTTTCTGGCCTATAAGTTGCACTGGAGTATAAGTCACGTCTGTTCAAAAATGTCTAGTAATTTGGAAAAATCCATAAATTAGTTGCGTCGCCGTATAGGTTGCATCTTTTATGCGTCTCCACTGACCACCTGGAAATGTGGGCTGGTGTTGTGCCAAAAATCGATTGGCTGCCAAATGGCGGCCGCGGGAGCGTGCACGGGAGGAATTTTAACAAGAATTTAACGAGATTAACACTTAAAAACAATTGTTTGTTTGCTCGAAATTATAACAAAGGTGTGTCTTGGTTTAACTTCCTTAATAAATGCACTTTGTCAATCAAATCAGCTGCATTTCAAAAATCGATTAGCTGAAGCGGGAGCGCGCAGAGGGACGACTCGCTGTGCATTTCGTCGAAATTTAACAAGATAACCACCTAAAATCAATTGTTTGTTTTCTCAAAATTATAGTAAAAGTATGTCTCAGTTGAACTTTTACTTAATAAAAGGACTTTTAATGGTCAAATCAGCTGTATTTCAAAAGTGTTCAGTGCTCCTGGAGCACGCAGAAGGAAGAACGCTGCGCATTTCTTCAAAATTTAACAAGATAAGCACCTAAAATGAACTTTTACTTAATAAATGCACTTCAATGGTCAAATCAGCTGAATTTCACCTTGGCGGCGCAGCAAAATGAAGCTGATTTGACGGCGAATTGGACAAAGGCGGCAGACTGTGGCAAGCCGATTGTGTCATTAATAGCCAGTTTTACCTATTACACGACACAACGGTATGCCATACTACTCGAGTGCCATCTAGCAGCTGAAAATGGTAGTGTTCAATATTTTCAATGTCAGAATGAATGAAAACGGTCATATCTCTTTCAAAAATTGGTTTATAAATATAGGAAAAAAACATAAATACGTTGCTTCAGTGTATAAGTTGCAGGTTATGCAAATTAGGCTAAAAGTTGCGACTTATAGGCCGGAAAATACGGTTGGTGCACACACATTTATTTACAAACCTTTCTCAAACTGCATCCTTGTGTGTGTTAGTTTTTTTTTTTTTTACTTTTTTTAGTCTTAACAGATTCTGATGCTGTCTTTGGAAACTGCTACTGAATGTGAATATTATGGAAAACCTTCAAATGGTTTTATTTATGTTCATTTCATGTCGGTCATCTCAGTTGTCTGCGTATTTATGTGAAGGAAAGCAGGGTACGCATACCAACACGTTTGTCGTAGCTTTCTGAAACTCATCAGCAGCCGAATGACTGCATCACAGCTGAAACCAGCAAACGCTACAAACTTTACGTCTCAATAAAGCGACTTCCTCGCGCTATATACGTGGATGCCACAACTCATGCACACGCCACAGCGTCACAACCCGTACATCCACTGTTTCAACTTCTCAGTGCATGTTTCAGATCCAGCTGTTACTGTTTGTTTAGAAATTACTCGTTTGGTTTATGTGGCCTTATATTTAGTGACAACGTCAGATTCTGCTGGTTTGGTTCTGATTTTGAGTCATGTATTTATGTATTAAAACTTTACTCAGATTGTTTTTATTTTATTTTTGTTTTATTATTTTCAAGTATGCCTTCAAAAAAAGGCAAGTCATATGTGCCACACTTCAAGTTTTGTCACAGACTATTTTTGGTGTATTGATTCATAATTGGTGATATATTTTAATTATTATAATTTTGAGGTCTAGAAACTTTCATGTAAAATGTGTCTGTAAAATAATAATCAGTGTGGGGAAAAAAACATATTCTTAATGATTCATTCTGTACCGTTATAGTTACACAAGTAGATAAAAATGTTATAAAAAATGGTGAATATTTTGTTTTGATTCTGAATGCACAGAGATCTCTGGATCCTGCTGTATTACAAATAAACCCATTTTCTGTATGATCCGTCTTCAGCTGGGATTCATTGTTCACTGACAGGCAGCAAAACTACATTTTTATAGTTTATAAACAAGTTTAAAAAAGGGGCTGCTAAAAGCATTTTACCAGAAGAGGGCAGACCTAACTACAACTACAGCTACTCCAGGAAACAAACTTTTTTTTTTTTTTTTTTTTTTTGTTTATGACAAGTGATTTGAGTAAAACTCAGTGACACATTTTTACTCACACTAAAAGCTAATAAAACTTCATGACTGCACAACAATACTCTCGAGTCTGATAACTGTGTTCCTTATTCTGGGAAGACATTCAAAATGTTGTTTTCGTGTGCTGATCAAAACATTTTATATACCATTTTTTTCAGACTAAGTCACATTAAGTGAAAGAAAACCGATACATAAAATCGGTTCGAGGTCAGTAAGCACAAACAGAATTAAGACATAAAGCGCACTGTCAATTTTTAAAGAAAATTAAAAGATTTTAAGTGTGCCTTTATAGTCTGAAAATACGGTGCAGCAGTAATTTGACCATTCTTTAGTCCGGGAGCATCGTAATAAAATTCAGCATTGGACAAGATTACTATTTCACAATGACAAAAACAGGATTTATGTTTTTATTTCTACATCAGCAGTTGTAACATTTTTTTTTTACTTAAACTAATAAAAACTCAATCATACTTCAACTATGAGAACAGTGTGAACGAAACCTTTGGGACACATTTAACCCAAATAAGTGAAATGTTTTTTTACCGTATTTTCCGGCGTATAAGTCAAGTCACAGCTTTTTGCATAGATTTGTCAGTCCTGCAACTTATATGCCGAAGCGACTTATACGTTGTTGTTTTTTTCCCATATTCACAATGCAATTTTTGACTGATGCTTTAAATTTCAAAGAACTGCAATAGCAAGTCTTCCCATGTGCACTCACTTCACTCAGCTGGTGCAGGTGGAGGAACGTTGGAGAGCTCGCGTCTCTGGCCACGATGGACGGATGGCGCCGCCCAGGCGAAATGAAGCCGTTTTGACCATTAAATAAACACAACAGGTCAGTGGTGACCCATAATAAATGTGACTTATATGCCGAAACGACTTATGTATGTTTTTTTTCTCTTCATTCTGCTTTATTTGACTGATGCAACATGTACTCCAGTGCGACTTATACGCGGGAAAAAACGGTAAATGTGTCTTTTAAATAATCTTTACCAGATTAATTGTTTTGTTGCTTTAAATCTTGTTTTTTTCCACACAAGTTAATTGATTCAAGTTGATAGTTTTCAATTCTGAGATTTTTTTTCTGTTCCTTTTCTATCATGAACGAGTTGATGTGTTTGCGTCAGTCTCGTGATTATTGGTGTTAAAAAAATTTTTTTTTAATTTCTTGAGACATCTGTAGGCACAAAGGGAAGTCATCTTTGTGTTAATTTCTGTAAAATCTGAAAGCAATTGTTTCAGACATTTAAGCGGGAAAAGTGAAAAGCTTTTTTTTTAAGCAAATTTTGTTTTTGTTTGTTAGACGTGACAAGGTAGTAAAAAAAGAAGATGTTTGTGCTGGAGGTGGACAGGAGCTGCAGGCAGAACCAGTTTCCATAGAGCTGTTCGTCTCGCTCGTCTACTTTTACACAGAAGTTGTTTTTTTCCAAGTTAACATGTCACGCAAGCCAGAATCCACAAAATTGCTGGTTGTTTTGCACAAGTGCCCAAAGAGGTTAGTTCTAAGTCCAGCAGTAAATCCACACGGCAGCAATAAAACAATGATCTTACACCTCAGGAGGTTCAGCAGAAAAGGAGTGGAGGGGTTAAAGTCTTTGTGCCATCAAGCATCAGGGAGGCTGCTTCGGTCTGTGTTCTGGAAACATGTTTTTAAAAGATAAGAGATGAACAGACTCACCTGATTTAATGATAAAGTCAGTTTTGCATGAAGAGGAAGAAAAACAAGCTGATTAGTGAAGACGCAGTGATTCGGGTTTAGTCAAATTTAAAAGGTCTGAACTGTAGCTTTTTATGGTTTTAAGTTTAAGTTGTGCTTAGCTGGTTAACAAAATATGAGTTTGGTTTCAAATTTGCATTTTTTTTATGGGGGTGAATTAGAAATGCCAGCATTTTATGTTCAAAATTTGTTCAGGAAAATACTTCAGCTGTGGAAAAATAGCATCTGAAAATAATCTGTAGATATACAAAAGGAAAATTTGCATAGTTGGGAAAACAACAATATGTTTAGAGGGAAACTGAAGCCTATAGTTGATTAAGTAATCATCCTGAAGCGTGAGGGTGCCAGATATTTATTTTCTTCAATTCATTTTTTAAATATTAGTTTTTAAATGAGCTTTCATTTATACCATTTCATAGTTCTTCAATCTTCAATGTGCTGCCACTTCTTCATAAATTGACTAAATGTTTTATTACAATATGAATGTATCAAATTACTCAGTAATAAAATAAATGGTAGAAAAAAAAAACTGTCTTGGCAATACTTTTTTAACTGCTTTTTGCAGAAAAAGGACAGACCGTCATTTCTTTATACATTGCTTCCAAGGAGTCAGACTACCTTGTAATCTTTGAAAGTGATCTTTAACAATACTTTATAGGGATTTGTTAAAGTCTTTGGACTTTTTGTCTCTGCTGTTTCATTCACTTTTTGTACAGCTCCTATCTGACCATGACATGCAGCATATTTTGTAGTGTGTTTGTGCTTCAAGGTGTAAGGAAATAAAACAAAACGACAAAACAAACATTCATAAAAATCATGAAAAAGTTATAGTGTTATAAAAAATAAAAGACAACAAAGACATGTCATAAAGTCTTTTTTAGTGGATCATCAAATGTATGCAATCATGTTGTTGTGTTAAAATATAATTCTGAGGGTTAAAATGTGGTATTTTTCACATTTGCTTAAAGATTCAAAACCATCAATTCACTGTCTTCATGACAGATTGTTTGGCTCAGAGTTAGTTAATCAGTAAGGTAATTAGTTAACTGGCTAGTGTTTGAGTTTTTCGTTATAGCTTGTTAAAAATCTGGCTTAAATGTGGTTCTTTGATAAATTATTTATGTGTAAACACAGTGGTTCATCTTTGAGCTGCTAGGAACTTGCTAAAAATAGGTTTATTTGCTAGTTACGTGTCGACAAAACTAAAGTTTTTTGTTAACAGAATTAAGTGGCTTAGAGTACTGTATTGGTAAATAGTCATGCTGTAAATGAGTAATTAATTAAGTAATTTGCGATGCTTTGGGGTTCGTGTCAAACAATGTTCATATCTAACTCTTTTTCAGCTTCTCACACGGCAACTTTACATGTCAGGTTCACAACGTAAAGAAAAAATCCCCAATAAAACTATTTTTATTAATAAAATAAGAACATAATAAGAAAATCAAATAGAGCAAAACTATTTGAGGTCGCTTGCTCATTAGTAACTATAAAGGTAAAATCTATGTTTTTTTAACCCCTCTTATTTAAAGGTGCACCGGGCACCTCTCCTCTTTCAGTTTCTTTAACTTTCAAAGTGAAATAGTAGCAGTGAAAAGGTTTTAAGCATTTTTTTTTTTTTTTAATTAAGTTTGTTTTCTTTTGAGTTGTAGTTGCGGTCCCTGAACGCGTCACGCCTCTGACCCCGCCCACATAAATCAGTGTTGGAGGCGCTCCGGCCGCTGATTGGCTGCGCGCTGCGCTCCAATCACTGAGCGGCGCTGATTCCTCTCTCTCACAAACCCGAGCGGGCGGCTCGGAAAGTCAAATAAAGAAAACACCGTCAGTCTCTTCTCTTCAGGGCGGACATTTGTCTTCATCTGAGAAGAAAGCTCAGGCCTGGGAATAAAAACTGGATTAATCAAACAATTCATCGGCCTAAATGGACTATCACGGGTTGAAACTGAGGACGGTTTTGGACCACAAACGGATTTTATATACTTGTTTTTCCTATTTCGACCTGTAATGTGTATTTGCCATTTCTGAGCGTGGGGATCTGAATGAGGATGACTGCCCTCATGAGGAAGGTGCAGCAGGTGCTCTGCCTCCTGCTGCTGGGCGCTCTCCAAGCCTGCAGCGCTCAGACGCAAGAAGGTGGGTCCTCAACGCACACATCACCATCCGAAAACATGTCTGATTTATTTTTCCATATAATAAAACACTCAAGCTGCACTATAGTAACAGGCTTACAGCTGCAAGTTGCCAATGAAGAACACCTGCCCTAAAAAAACACCCAAACCTGTTCCGCACACGTAAAACTTGTTTGCTGTGAGTCACCTGCACCTCTCCCACGGCTCTGTGTGCTTTAGCGTGTTTGACTCAATTGTTTCAAGGTTTTGCGACAGAGCCCAGCCTTTTTTTTTTTTTTTTTTTTACCACCAACCTCAAGGAAAAAGTAACCCCCCTGGGTTTTAAAAAAAAAAAAAAAAAGGTTACCTCTGAAACGTTTGTCTCCTTCGGTTCAGTTTAATCAGTAGCGGAACTGCATTCAATCTGTGGAGGTGACACTGATAATACAAGACAATATATATATATATACATACATATATATATATATATATATATATATATTAAAAAAGACTGGGAAGAAATGTTTATTTATGGGTCATCATTAAACAGTTTTAAGTGGTTAACTTTGTTAAATGCTTGTAAAGAAATTAGACATGAGTTTGGAATACCTGTTAGGCAATTTATCACTGCCTTTTTTTCTTTTTCAGCTTTACAATTGAAGAGATCAGTTGATTAATGGAGAAAGTAGCCACGTTTTTATATAACAAATATCAGAACTCTGGGTATAAAATGACTTCAGAGTTTAAAATTGCCCCACTTCAATCCAGTTTTTACAAATATATATAAAATATGCAGCAAAGGGTCACAGTAAATCTTTAGAAAGCTTTTAGTTTTTGCTTTAATGAAACTTTCAGTTTATAAAGCACGCCTGTTTTCCTTTACCATGCACAGAGTAGTATCTGTATTACTTGACACAGTTGCTTCTAAGTTGTCTGTAACATAACTGAGCTACAGAGCAAAGATGGAGTGAACCCCAGTGGAGCATTCTGGAGGCAGAGTGGGGTGTTGTGATTTGAACGCTGCTGTGAACTTTGGTCTTGTTGCCACCTGGCTGCAGGTGAATTCAGCGACTCTGATTCAGAGAAAAACAACATGAGATCATCGATGCCAGCGGCTGGTAAACATCCCACACCAAAAAAAGTGCCCTTTTTTTATATATATATATTCAAAAACAAAAAGAAAATGGTTCAGTATTTAGATTTTTTTTGTTCTCTCCAATTATTAAACCGTGTTTGTTTGTTCTTAATTGCAGCAGATGTACGCTACAAAAAGTTTGAATTTGATATGAACATCTGGTTTTAGAAACTGTTCACAGCACCGATCTCAAATCTGAAACCAGAACTGGAATTGGATGTGAAATGTTTAGTCAATACCCTTAAATCTGCACGTTAGCTGCATTATTTAGAATAAAATGGCTGGATTTTTATAATTTCTTAGAAAGTTTAGCCTCTTTTTTGTGCAATCTTTGTTGCTAATTGCCTTTTAATTTACATCCACATTTCTCTTATGAATCATTTTATTATAAAATGGTTTTTTTTGCATCTTTCCTTGAGCTGTCGTCACACTTTCACTCTGAGTGTGGCCGTTGTGCCATCATAAAGACCAAGCAAACTTTCCTTGAATGACTTTGTAAGTTTGCTTGCAGCCTTTTTTTTCTACATTTCAAAATTTTGAGCAGGTAACTTAATAAGTGATGAGTCAGATAGCCGTGGGAACATGTTTTAGTTAGGGGGTGCTCTGAGCCCATGTGAATCTGTATGACTCCAAGCACCCAAAATACCTCATATATGCAGTAAAATGCACACTAGGAAGTAGCTTCATGATACAATACAATTAAAACAGGACACAGATTAAAAATATGTAAGAACAGAGATAAAATAATCAAATAAAACTCTAACTAGAAGATAACATAAAAATGTCTTTAGCTGCTTTTTAACGTGCAGCATAAAAACAAAGGGAGTTCATTCTGCAGGCAAAGTATTTTTAAAGTCTGTGAACTAGCAACACATGTTGTCTTATCTGAATATGGACACTTTTTTTTTTTGCATAATTTAGACAGACAATATCTACAGAACTTCTGTTATGACCTGAAGCTAATCTGTTTAGTTTGTTGTTGAATTTTGCACACGGTTGTACAGTAGTAGCGCTTATTACCAAAATTACATAACTCAAAAATATCTAAATGTTAGTCATTTTAAACACATGCAGGGTTTTTTTTGCATTCATTATGCATTTGGACAATGCATGTCCTCAGAGGGGACTGCAGCACCCTCTGCACCCCTACTTCCCACAGCCTTGATCAGAAGCAGTAAATTTAGTCAATCTTGCACATTTGGCTGCATAAAAGCAACCGTTCCCTTCACATGTGCACAACCTCTGCCTGTAGACAGGTGAGTTTAACTCAACGTGAATGAGTTCACTCGTTCAGGTGATTTTGTGCGCGCTCACCTATAAAGTCTGCAGTAATCTCTGGCCTCCAGTGCCAAGTTTCTGTTTACATCACTGAGCGTCTCGGCTGCTCTTATTGAGCTTGTTTACAACCTCCTCCCTCTATTCTTTTCTTTCACTCCCCCTGTTCTTTTCTAGTGTTGAAGCCGTGGTAACAGATGAGTGAAAATAACAGCCAAAACCTGATCCGCACCTTGCTTTCATGATTGTGTTAGGTTACGAGTTCAGCACAATGGCACCGTGGGTTCATGCAGCGTGCTTGATGGTGGCGAGTTGAGCAGAAATCTCTTCCTTGCTGCAGGACTGGCAAAAAGTTGAAAAGAACAAGAAAGACGGTTTAGAAATCTCCAGCACTTGTCTTGCACACCTGCATAAAAAAACACCATTGTGCGCATGTGTGCGTGTCGTATTGACTCAGAACCCTCCACCTCATTCCTCTGACAGCAACGCAAGTCCTCTTTCCACAGAGAAAACCCACTCATCAAGCCTGAGTGCTGTGTAAACGTAGGACATACCTTTTTGTCACATTCTGTCCTTCGTGTGTTGGTTCATCATTATGTCGTGCCTGTTCTGCATGCATACTCTACATACTGCTTGGAGCGGAAGGCCCTCGAACATTAGGTGCTCAGGTGTTCAAACGTATTGCACAACCGTCTATTCAGAGGAGTCGAGAGCTCTAATCATGCACTGATAGCTCCAAGCTGCACTCAGGGCATAAATAGGACAAGGAAATAAAGAGCTTTCCACTTGAGCTGCTCATAAACTCACATTTCAAGGAAAAGTTGCAGAGGCCAAACTCTACTTCTTTATCCTCCTCTTTTTTGGGGGGCTGCTCCCTTTTTTCAGGGGTCGCCACAGCGAACTATCTCGCACGAAGACTTGGCAATTCTTTTTATGCAGGATGCCCTTCCTGATGCAATGACAGATCACCGAGCTACCACAGCCCTCTGTGTGGAGCAGAGAGCTGCCATCTAGGGCGTCCGAGGGAGCAGATGGTGGGGGTTAAGGGCCTTGCTCAAGAACCCAGAGTGGGGCAAATGAGGGTGTTTCACCTATCCCACCCACATTTTGATGTTGTCAGTTTGGGGAGTTGAACCGGTGACTTTCCAATCACAGGTTCACCTTCTCTAACCTCTGCACTACCACTCCCCATTGAGGCTAAACTCTTTACAAAGGAAGGAATTGTGAGCATGAAAGTGGCCAAAGTCCGTATTTATTCTCAATGTTTTTATACCAGTTGCATGTATTCAATTTAAACTTATTTTTTTATCAAACAGAGGAAAATATCTAAATATCAGAAAATTAATTTGCTGGAAAATGGGGGGAAAAAAAATCCTATTTTCCATTTTTAATAAATGGGAAATGCAAATTCAAATGTTTTTGATTGTATTAAGTCATATTTTAGTGAATGGCAGATATCACTGAAAGCTGGTTTTAACGTGACCATGTCGATACCTTGAGCAAATATCAGCCATTAATGAGGAAGCTCTTTGTTCTCCTCTTAGGAGTAAATTATTAAATAATTATTTGATCATTTACATCATTTACAATCCTTTCACACATGTCGTCACAGAAAGGGTGATCAATTTATAATAACTGACTAAAAGTGCATATTTCTGCTCTTTTTTTCCCTCCGTAAGTACGAAATACTAACGACCAGATTGAGAGCGTTTGTTGTTAAACCTGTTTGAAAAAAGTTCAAATGCTGGTGATTGGATGAATTTTTTGTCTGTCGTTAAATATGTTAAAAGTAGCTTCCAGCCCATTTGTCATAATAAATGTTGGTGAAATTCTCTGTGTGTAGGGGCGGAGGGCAAAAAAACGACAAAAATGCTCCAGCAAGAACAACATTCCCGCTCTTTTCTCTGAGTTCAACAAAGAAATTCAGCTGCGATGTATCGGAGGCAGCAGAGATAAGTTCGTGAGGAGGTGTCGATGTTTACTGTCAGCACCTGAAACCTCCCATAATGCCCCTGAAAGATGCAGATCTGCCTCGACTTTTGCTAAACCAAATCGCTCATGACTCTTGTGACAAGTGCCAAAGAAACCAAATGACCTGTGTTCCTTGTACTTCCAGTGTCACGGACACTTCAAGAGTCTGAAACAAATTTTTAAAAAGTGTTAACATTGATCTGCTGACAAGATTAGAAGCAAAACTGCAACTGTTTCAAAAATAACTACAGTTGTGTCTCCGGTCCATTTTCACTTCACATCTACAGATGTGTGATGTTTTATTTTTACCGTATTTTTCGGCCTATAAGGCGCACTTAAAATCATTTAATTTTCTCACAAATCGACAGTGAGCCTTATTCATTCAAGCTTTATTTATACAAGTTAATCCCACTGAGCCTCGGGGACTCATTTACAAGAGAGACCTAATAATAGTGATAATAATGAGATAATAATGAGACCTTATAATCAGGTGCGTCTTATGTATTAACTCTGGTTGTGCTTACCGTCCTCGAACCAAGTTTATGTGATTATTGTGAACGAGTTGAATAAAGTTTGACTTATATGACTGTTTTGTTTCGCTTAATGCGTTTTATAATCCTGTGTGCCTTTTAGTCCAAAAAATACGGTAGATGCTCACTTGTATTATCTGGTCTGATTATAGTCTGTATAGAAGATCAGTAAACCCTGATACCATAAAAAAATCCATTTTCACTAGATTTATTTTTATCTATACTGTAACATTGTTATGTGCTCGGGTTGTTATTAACCCAATAAGAGGAATGTGGATTGTGTTAATGTTTCTCAGCCTAAAAAAAAAAGACATCCAGGAAGGTGACGCTCTTACCAGAATAATGTCCTGATTGTTCCTGACATTTCACAAATGTGGCTTTTTTTGAAACAATATTTCTGGAACTCGAGCCTCCATTAACCTCGGTTACATCACAGAGGTGGACGGCTAAATGTGTCTAAAGATATCCAAGCTAAAAGACACCTGCAAATAAATCACCACCCAGCCGGGAAAGGCATCATTTTGTTGTCATAGTGAGCCGACTTCTTCAAATCTTTGGCACCGATTCAGACCCAGTGAACCCAGTGTTCTCGGAAATACAAAAAAAAAAAAAAAAAGAACCAAACAAACTTTAACATGACTTTATGATCACGGGACGAGCCTGTTGCCACACATGCACACACTGAGTGGGTTTTCCTCTCCTTCAGCGAGCATTACTTTGACATCAGTTTATTTCCAGCAAACCTAAAAAAACACAACTTGGTTCACCCCAAACTGACACAAACCAAGACTTCCAGTGTGACCACACAAACAGATTTCTGTCCTTCAGCGTGCACACGCTCTGTGCTTTGACCTGCCTGTTGTTTTCGTGCTCTGTGGTTAATAATCATTAAGCTTTAATGCCCTTGTTGATCCTCTCGTTCTTCTGGTTTCTGTTTTGACTCAAATGCCAGTTGATGGGATTTTTTTTAATGTGTCAACATTTCATGACAAACACTCAACTCAGTAACAAAAGAAGTTTTTTTTTTTCATGAAAATGCATCTCAACAGCTTGTTTCTATAGTTGTAATAGACTTGAAGTAAAGGGTGAGCACACCAAGAAACACAAACCAAATGAAAAGTGTTTTTTTTCTACAAGTTTTGGAGACTAATCAGTGAAGTGTCAGCCCCTTTTAATCCAATAAATATGTTTTACAATTCGGAGTTACATTTGTTACAACAAAAAAGGTTGAATCATGTCATCTGGACTTTGTTTTTTTGTTAAAAAGAAACGTTTCGCCCCTCATCCAAGAGGCTTCGTCAGTCTGAGGCCTAGCCATCTGGTATTACCCAGAAGCCAACCTGACTCTTGTGTTTCAAGCCTGCCTCAGATACCCCTGAAGTCTGGCCTTTTCACTAATGGTTTCAAAAACACAAAGTTATATACCTGGATGACTGAGAAAACAAACTTTGTACATTTGTTACAGATTTTTCTTTTCCCTTTTCCTGAAACAAATAATTGAAGCAAATCTATTTAACTAAAACTTGCCTAAAACTGATCACGTTTGAAACTTCCTTTCTAAGCACCATGCTCAATAATCCAGGTATAAAATCCAACAATGTTCAGTGAGGTCATCTGGACGGTTTCATTTTTATTTTTTGCTGAGACGTTTTGTCCTTTATTCTTCGTCCTTCCTTTCTAAACCTTTTTTTTTTTTTTTGTATATTCTTAATTAAGTGTATTGTGAAACTAATGAGGCTCTAAATCAGGGTTTGCAACCTTTACAATCAAAAGAGCCATTTTTACACCTTAGTTCAGTAAATTAAAAGTGTTCAGAACTGCAACAACATGCTACAACTGTGATTATCAACTGATGACCTGTGGGCCACTTTAGGTTTGTTAGAGGAGGCTTTTGTGGCCACTAGGGGTGACGTTATAAAGCTAAAAAGTATCTAATGGCGTTTAACATTTCTTGATATCTTTACAATTTAAGACAAATGAAAAGACCAGATTCTTGTAAAGGTGAGGGGGCGGGGGTTAAATTAATAAAAAAAACTATGAACTATGCAGACGTGATTATTTTTAATTGTGGAAAAAATAAATATGTATTATTATTTGCAAAAGAAATTACAGGAAAACTGCTAAAACTAATCCTTTGTTTTATGTAAAACAGCCAATAAAATTTGGTTTTATGTTCGTTTTGGTCAAAGCTTGAAAGAGCCATGTGGAGGAACCAAAGAGCCACATGTGGCTCCAGAGCCGCAGGTTGCAGACCCCTGCTCTAAATGATTGTTCAAGTTGTACTGCATGGCTGTATAGTGATTTGAACACCGTGAATGTGATACAGCTCTAACTGAAGAACTGAGTTGTGTTTCTATCAGACATATTAGACTGAAAAGCTCATTTATATCAGCTGTTCAGTAGTTTAACTATCAATACATACTGAGGTTTAGAAAGAAATTTGTGTTTGCGATTACATTATCCTTTAAAATCAAACCTCAGCTTCAGTTTCTGAGCTTATTAATATCATGTTTTAAATAATAGCCGTAAAACCGAGGATTGTGGTTAAATAAAGTTGCGATTTTAGTTTCTAGTTCAATTTAAAGTTGTTGTTTTTAACGACAAGAAAACGTCTTTGAATGACTTTGATGCACAAGATGATAAGTGGGCAGAAATGTATGACGTCAGTGCCGACGTGCTTTCCTTGAGGACATTTGTTTGTACGTACGTTTGTGCAAAGTGTTGATTTTTCTGAAAACCAACGAACATGTTTGGTTTGTCTTCCTCGTCCCCTTCGTCCATTTCCCCTCCGCTCCGTCCCTCCTGTCTGGCATTTGAATAACAAAGTAGCCTTCTAGTGATGCTGACTGGGTGAACTCCCACAGACCATAAACAAGGCTTTGTGTGTTTGTTGGACAGAAGGACACGGCCTGCACACAATCCTCAGCTTGTTGCTCACTGTTACAGTACGTCCGTTCATCCAGAGCAAGATGAACAGTGTCTTGTAGTAAAAGGCATGAAACAGCCTTTTAGGGGGTAAAACTCTCCCTGTTTGCTCATGAATGGTTTATTGGAACTTCTATGGGGATTTCTGTGTTATCATATCAAATGATCATTAGTTTGTGCTTTACTTTTTATTAAAAATTAACAAGTTTTTAATGTTTTGGGCTATTATCTATCTTGACAATAACACATAACGCATACCGATCCAAACAGGAACAAGCTGGAACAGTTTATAAAATAATACATATATCAGATAACAAGATGTTTGTTATAAACTATATTGTGTCTGTGCCGTTTGCAATAAAATATTAGTGAAATAAATAAATTTAGAATAGTTTTGTATTTCTAACTTTCAAGTTTATTTGGATGTGAAACTGAAAAAGTGAAAAGGAAAGATCGTCCATTACTGTGAGGAGCCTGGACTGTTTCTCGTTATCTTTTATCTTCTTTCTGTAACACTTCATAAATACTGCTTGGTTCAACAATAAATGTGTTTATTGTTAAATCCATTTAGGAAAAGTTTATTCATATAAATGTCATATTATACGTATTATATGTTTTTTTTTCCTCAATAGCCAATTTTTTTTTTTCATATTTTACATTTTGGCTTCTATAATCTGGCAAATTACTCTGAAATGTTGGTATAAATGATAAACTATTTAAATGTATTGCATGTATAAATGTATGTATATTTGTTTTCGTCAGTGGCTGTTTGCCCCGGCACACAGAATGGTCTGAGCACAACAGGAGACTCTGACAACCAGTACGAGACGATGAAGAAGATGTACAACAACTGTGATATCGTGATGGGTAACCTTGAGGTCACCATGATGGAACACACCAGAGACTTCAGTTTCCTGCAGGTGGGTCTGTGAACGTGTCGGCCAGATTATTAGTAATCCTTTCACAGAGAGTGCGCCCGCAAGAAAAACTGCAAACCAGTCTGGACACGGATGGGAATCGAACAATGTCTGAAACATTCCTGAGCTTTCTTTAGAATTTACAAACGCAGTGAAGCAATGGCTCATACTTTTAAAACGGGGTGCTGTGAAAATGTTGCAATTAATATCTTACCTGTTGCAGGTAGCACTTTGAATGCCTTCTTTATTTCTGACCAGACTAACGGCTAGTTGGATCAAAGTGGGTTGTTGCTCTCTTAAACAAATCTAAGCTCAAAAGTCTTATAGAGAGCCAACGCTGTTTGTCTGTTAGCAAAATATATTGTGAACCATTGAACATATTTTAATGAAACTTTAAGTTAGTAATCATTTGATGCACCTCTACAACTCGTCAACCAGATTCAACATGGCCACCACACGTGACTCGGTCGTTTTTATAAATACTGAGCTATTTAATGTGGTAGTAGCTTTGACTTATCCCCAACACTAACTCTGAGAACCAACAGATTGTGTGAGATCTTTGGTAAAGATTTCAACATTTACTGTTGGAGTCAGCTCAGTCTGTCTTTTAGAAGCATGTCTATAACTTGTTAACATTTGAAATCAACCCAGTGTAGGATGGATGGCACAACTCATTAAAAAGTTGCTATAATGCAGTTAATTTTACTGGTAGCAACTGAAAGTTGTTTCTAACACATGCTCCAAGTGAGATCTTACAATAAAACCTTTCTTTCGGCTGCTCCCTTCTTCAGCAGTTGCCACAGCGAACAATCTCACATGAGAGATTTGGCAAATGTTTTACGCTGGATTTCCTTGCTATTCCTATTATTCCTGCTTTATTGCATGAAATAATCTTCCAGATTTGACAAAACATGTTTTTCAAGATAAGATGATCTTCATCTAAAACTGTGCCCCGACAGGTGACGAGCGGCAGCTGTGGCACTGCCACATGGCACTTCTGGCAGAAATAATATATTTATGACAGAATAAGTATTACATATGAAACTGACCGCTGTGTAAAGTTTTATGAAATAGGATTTGTATAATCTGTTGTGAATGTTTGAGATTGACGTTGCTTTAAATCAACAGCAGTCCACACTGGTCATGGCATTACTCAGACTAGCCATTAGCTCGTCAGTCCAGTCAGAATTAAACTCTGCTTCTCTGAACTGATGTCATTCAATATCCAATCATCCGTTCATTATCTTTACCTGATTCTTCCTTTTTGGGGTGTGCCCATATAAACCAGTCACTGTGAGAGGCAGGGGACACCCTGGACAGGTCTCCAGTCCATCACAGGGACACATAGAGACAAACGAGACAAACAACCATTCGCTCTCTCACTCACACCTAGAGACAATTTAGAGTTACCAATCAGCCTAACATGCATGTTTTTGTTCTGTGGGAGGAAACCAGAGTACCCGGAGAAAACACGCATGCACAGAGAGAACATGCAAACTCCACCTAGAAAGGTTCCCGGCTGGGATTCGATCTAGCAACCTTCTTGCTGAGAGGTGGCAGCTCTACCAACTGCACCACCATGCCACCCAACACGTTAAATATCTATAATCTTTCCACAGAACCTCATTTCAAAAGATCTGAACCATTTTATCTAAGTTTAGGTTCATTTACTAAGCAAACCAACCAGTTGGTGCCAAGCTTTGACCAGTTCATTTACCAAACGCCTGGATTTTTATTTTCTTTATTTCTTTTCAGTCTATTAAGGAAGTGACGGGCTACATTCTGTTTGCTGTCAACGAGTTCAGCCGCATCCCTCTGGACAACCTCCGCGTCATCAGAGGCACCACTCTGTACGATGGCCACTACGCCCTGGCTGTGATGATCAACTACCAAAAAGAGGGTGCACATGGCCTTCGAGAGCTCGGTCTGACACACCTTACAGGTATGCAGCTCAGGTACGACGTGTGTGTTTAAAGTGTGGGAGGCTGAGCTGGAACAGATAAGAGCTCTGGTTGGATGTGACAATCTGTTACTGCTGGAGCACTTTACACCCACGCAGTGGAGTCCACACCCTCAGAGTACCAGTTCTCTGAGCGCAACCATGTGTACGCTCCCCGTGAAGTCCCTGGAATGTGACATGAGCCCAACCGCTCAACTGCCAGTGTAACGCGAGCTCCGTCCCATTGCGAGCTGTTTTTGTATGCAGTGTAGTAAATAGTGAGTGGCAGTGATTCATGGAATGAGTCACAGGCTTGTCCAGGCTTGCTTGGCTAATTGTCATTTCCCCGATTTAAATGTGTGCCACCTGCAGAGATCCTGGAAGGAGGCGTGAAGATCATCCAGAATCGGGACCTGAGTTATGCCCCGCAGATCAACTGGAGGGACATAGTGAAGGATGACTCCACTCCCATTCTGATTGAAGCCAATGGTCCTCAGCGTGAGTTCAAGTTTCGATACAAAACACAAAGCAGGAATGAAAGTGTAACTTGTTACAACTGTGCAAAAGTTGTGTGAGACCTAAAAACCATAACCAGTAGATGGAACAGCATTTTAAAGTCATGTCTTTGAGAAATAGAAAGAATAAATCATATCTGACACAAGTCCTGATAGATGTGTCATCCTCCAGTTGATCCTCAAATATGTTTAAAGGTTTAAGAATCACTCAGTTTGAGTTAAAAATAACTATTTTATGTGTCAAAACTGTAAAATCCTTGTTTTTTTCCCCAAGTTTTATAAAAAAAATTGGAATAAATCAAGTTTTGTGATGGGCCATTTATGAGAAAGTGCCTGAAGATCTCATTTAAAATGAGTTTTGCATAGTCGTCTGTAATGAGATGATACAACACCAGTTCTTACGTTGAATTTAGGGGATGTTTGATGCCCGAACGATCCACTGATCAGAGTTAGGTGGCTTAACAAACAAGACAACATCCCTCAGAAAATGGTCCATCTTGGTACAAAGAAACCCATCTGAAAGCTTGAAGAACTATTGATCAAATCAACAAAGTCCATGCTCAATGGTAGCAGTGCTGCTGTTGATCAAATCACATTTATTTAAAGAAGTGTGGCTCATTTGAAGAAAAAAATGATTAAGGAATTAGGCTTGATCCAAGACTTTTGCACAGTGCTGTTCATCTTTGGTCAATCTTGTCAATCCTCCTCAGTTTGTATTATGTTGAGCTTCAGTATTAGACTTTAAAACTCCATCTGCTGACATTAAAATGATTTCCCAGGGAATTGTAGCCAAGAGTGTGGATACGTGCCGTGTTGGGGACCAGGAAGTAACGCATGCCAAACTCGTGAGTGACAGCTCAGCTTTTAATTTTAATTCCTACATTTTATATTCAGTTTCCAATGAATTTCCAACATGGCTTGCCAAAGCTATCTTAAGAAAGCTTGAAAAACAAGTCATCTGTGCTTTTATTGAACCCTTGATTTAAACTTCAAGATGCATGTCTAGTGTTTGTTATAATTTTTTTATTTTTTCATTATCAGTATTTCTGTGGCTCATCTTTCTGCAGTCTTTTGTAATTTGTTTGTACATTCTGTTCTCTGTTTCAGTGACAAAGACTGTGTGCGCTCCTCAGTGTAACGGCCGGTGCTTCGGTAAAAACCCAAGCGAATGTTGCCACGGTGAATGTGCTGGAGGCTGTAGAGGACCGCTGGACACAGACTGCTTTGTGAGTCAGGAGTTCAGTCATTATCTTAATGAGTATTCTCTATTAGCTATAAAGATTACATGTATATTACAGCTACTTTTAGAGTACAGACATTTGTCCCTTCAAAAGGTACAAAGTTTAAACCTAAGTAAATGCATGATTCACTCCTTAACTACATTTTAAACTCCCAATTATTTGATTTCATTGCCTGTGATATCGTCTCTGATTTTTTTAATGCTTGAAAATTTATAAAATGTTTAGTTTTTGTCATTTTTATACTTTTCAAGACATTTACCTCTATTTACAAGTGCTTTACCCAAAGAAATGAAAATGTATTCAATTCCTTGAAAAAATGTGCCTTCTTAAATCTGCTTTTTACTCTATTTTTGTTTTCTTTTACTATTTTTAGCTTTAGTTAGCTTTTTGCTACTTGTAGCTTCTAGTTTTCATTCTTCGTTTCTTTTTAAGTGACCTGTCAGGTTAATCTCAACAGGTGTTCAGACCAATAGTTTGCTTAATGTGTCCAAGATGGTCTCCCAAGATCACTTCTGCCAATCCTGGGCCCACTTTTCTAATAATTTCATGCCGATGATGCCTCAATAAACTGCTCATCCTTTTCCAGATGTCTGCTGTGATAAACAGATAAGGTACAAAACATAGTATTTTTCCCCCTCAGTGAACTGTTTGGGATTTTTTTTAACAGGCTTGTAAGAACTTCAACAACTCGGGCTCATGTGTGACCCAGTGTCCACAGGCTATGATCTACAACAAGCATACATTCAGAATGGAGCCCAATCCCAATGTCAAGTACCAGTATGGCGCTATCTGTGTGTCCCAGTGCCCCGGTGAGTCCCAACACATGACGTCGATGCAGTTTTTATGTTTGCTTTTCATAAATCTCCAGTTGTTAAAACTGCTGGGACGGTCTACTCTGGGTTTATTGTTGTCTCTGACATGCTGCCGTTCGGACACTTACATCATTTCCTCTCTTCGAACAGAAAACTTTGTGATGGATGACAGCTCATGTGTGAGCAAATGCCCAAACAATAAGAAGGAGGTGGAAAAAAACGGAGTAAAACAATGTGAGCTGTGCGAAGGCATCTGCTCAAAAGGTATCCAGCTAAATTTAAAAGCAACTCTGCCTGTTAATTTAGTCCATTTAAACAAGATAATCATCTCCCATTTTGGGCAGCACAGATCAAATTACCTCTTAATTAAGAGTTTCATTTAAGAATAACAAAAATACTATTTTAAATACACCCTACATGGGAAGCTCACATGCAGGAATTATGAAAAGTGTGGAAATTATTTACTCAAAAGTGTCAGATTAATTCTGCTTTTCACCTTTAAAACCCTAAAACACCTGTTTAAACCTAGTCTCCCCTTTTTATTTTCCTTCCAGCTTGTACTGGCACAGGAGGTCCGTCCAGAGAAACTGTGGATGCGAGTAACATTGACAGTTTCAGAAACTGCACTAAGATTGACGGCAGTCTTCAGTTCCTGGTGACGGGGATAAACGGGTAAGAAAACCATTCCTTTCCGGCCTAGTTCGGCTCTACCATAAGAGCAAGATGTGCACATTCCCAGCTTCCTTTGATGCAAAGGTGGTCCTAATGAGTGGAAAAATATGAGGTATACATTTAATGCAGGGCTGTGCAATTTATCCAGTTTGTTTTCTTATTAGCAGGAAAACCGCCCTAAAAAACAAAAAAATAAGATTATTATTAAATATATTCAGACATATTCTGCTTTGAGAAAATCTGTCTCCTGAGCTACATGAGCTGAAAACTACAGCCGTTTAGATTAAACATTTCCAAAACATCATTAAAGCTTATGTTCAAGTCTGTTCTGCTTGTGTTCAATTCAGCTGGAAGCTGCAGCTAAACTTTAGATGAAAATAAACAGCTCAATTTTCTCAAAAATCAACAGTGAGCCTCATAATCTTGTGCGCCTTATGTATTAAATCTGGTTGTGCTTACTGACCTCAAACCAATTTTATGTGGTACACGGCGCTCAAAAATCTGTCCAAATCAACTTGTTTTGCTTAAAGCGCCTTATAATCCGGTGCACTTTATGTATGAAAGCAAACCCGTTTATTGATATTGCGCTTTATAATCCGGTGCGCCTTGTAGTCCAAAAAATACAGTCTGTAGTTTATGAGAAGCAGTTTTATTTTACCACAAGAAGGACTGCTTCTTTATGCATGGGAATAATACATGAAGAAGGTTTATTTAACAAAAAGACAAAAGGTTTTTTTTATTTATAAATGACTCACAGGAAGATTTTGAAACAGTTTTTACTAAACCACTGTATCTATTGATCCCTAAAACTTTCTGTTTTATTTTTGTTGAAAATTGTCAATATTCATGAAATCTTGGATATTTTTATATTTAATTGCTGAAATTTTTTTCATTCACCTTATGAAAAAACAGTTTAATTTATTATTTATCTAGTAGCGTTTGAAAATTTAAAAAAATAATTTTTTTAGGTAAAAATTAAACTTCATGGTAATGAGGAAAATTTAAGACTATTCATTGTTCTTTAAATGCAAAAATAAAATGTGCTTAAACTCTGTGAATAGCAATTTTCAATAATCCTGCCTACAACACTTACCAAAATATTTGTGATTAATATTTTTCCATGGCTCAAAGTCACTGTTTAATCCGAGTTAAATAAAACGTTCTAAAATGTATGAAACAGAGAATTTTGTAGGTGTTGAATTGTGAATAAATTAAAAATATATATGCTGATTGGTTAGTGACAGAGACAAACTAAGTGCACTTTAAAAAAATCAGTTTTACATTTAATTAAAAATAAATAAACCAACACCTCCTGTAAATGATGTTGCATCAATAGGAAACGAGAAGAAACTCCAGTAAAGGAGCACCAGGTAGCTTTCAGTAGCTGACTGAACTTTCCACTTGATGCTTTTTCATAGTTAGTAAATCATTGGGTATGTTCAACTGTTTTATGGATGCAGTGTTGCATCTGACCTTTGTTTTGTCTTTCTTTGTTTGCTCAAAGTGACGATTACAAGAAAATCCCAGCCCTTGACCCAGAAAAGCTCAAAGTCTTTAACACTGTGAAGGAGATCACAGGTGAGCATGAATTTATGTTCAAACCAAATATTTCTCGTCACATCATGGAGCTGATTAAAAAGCCGTCGTCTCCACCTTCAGATTTCCTCAACATCCAATCGTGGCCAAAAAGCCTGTCTGACCTGTCGGTCTTTTCCAACCTTCACACCATTCAAGGCAGAAAACTGTACAGGTGAGAGGATCATCCCTCCATCGTTTTGTTCCTCCACATGACAAACACCTTGTCATGCTGTAAAGGGATCTGTAGCATTCACTCAGTCTTCAGTGGTGGGAATCTGACTGTTGTTTAATAACCTTATGTAACATTTTTACCCTCTTTAGGGGAACCAAATCTAAAAGGTATGGTAACAATCTGACATGTGTCCATTTTTTTATGTGCAGCTTAGCAAATCATCACTGGGGTATAAGTCTTGGGGTTGCTTGGTTAAGGTGGTGGTGGACTGTATGTTTTGTTGAATTGACAAAGCTTGTTTGCATGCTCTGATTTATTTTTGTGCGTTTGTGTGTGTTTGGGTGACAATAAGTGGAATTTGTGAGATATTTTTTTACTTTTGGAAGCAAAATGATTGCTCTATTCTTTGGCTCTACCATCACTTCTGACTCTTTATGTCATATAAAATAAAATAAAAATACATTTGATTATTTTGTGTACATGTTGCTCAAAATAATTTCCGTTAAACCAGTTTCTGTTTTCTTTTCATTTCCATCTTTATCCACAGGTTTTGCTATTTCAAAAGCAGATTAGAAAGACATGATTTATAGGTGGAAACGCTCCTACAACCTTTAAGAATTTAAGTTATTTTTCAAGTGTGGTTGTGATATACCTACTGCTCAGTTTAGAGCAGTAAGTATCTTACCTGCTGTAGATAGCTCACTGAATGGTCTCAGTTTGGACAGAAATTCCAACTAAAGCTAGTCAGACCGAATCTGCCTTCTTAATACAACTCACAAATTCCCTAGCTATTTACGCAAGTGCTGTTTTATACAAATTTACATCACAACAATTGTTCATTAAGTTGTTATTTACATTTATGCTTTTGAAATAGCTAAACCCAAAATATTTTTAATGAAATTAGATAAACACGATCCTAAAACTCCAGAAAGCTCATTTAAAAAATGAAAGATTCAGATGCTTTAAAAAAAATTGAATTTACTTTCATGCATTTTTAAGAAAGTATTTTCAGTAATGGTTTTACTTCCTCACTTCCTGTTTCAGGGGCTACTCCCTTTTGGTGATGAGGAACAATTCTCTCACCTCCCTCGGGCTGCGCTCACTGCAGAGAATAAACGATGGCAGTGTCTACATCTCAGGAAACGAGAAGCTCTGCTACCACGACACGGTGAACTGGACCCGCATCTTCAACAGCAGCTCGCGTCCGCAGAAACGGAACAAGCAAGTTGAATTTAGGGACAACCGACCCCGAGACCAGTGTGGTGAGTGGCAAAAACTAAATCCATTATTACCACAGTTCAGCTAAAAGGTTAAAATGCATTTAAATTATTTATGGCATAAGCTTTCACATGTTTACATAGGTTGCTGATGACTTGAAGTTTCTTTTTCCTGCAACAATTATTCAAGAATGTTCCACGTGGATTTGCATGTATTCAATTTAAATCAGTAACAATCCAACAAAATTAAATATTTAAAGGCCCTTGAAGGATCATCACTAGCAGTTTTCAGGCTGTGGTTTGTTTAAGATTGTCTTTCTATGTAAAAAATTAACAGATTTGTGGTAAATTTATGTCAAATTTTGAAAACACCAATACACACAAATTCAATTTAGCAAGATCTGGCAGGATTTATTGGTGCTCAGAGTGTGTGTTGGGGATGACTCTCAGTTACTACCACACCACAGTCAGTCTCAGTATCTGTAAAATTAACTGAGTGAAATCCATATTTGTTTTTTGTGGGGGGTTTTAGGTTTGCTTAGCTGTGGCAGCCATCTTAAATTTGTCTGACTCCAAAAGGTTACGACAATAACATCACTTAACAAATGGAAACGATCAGCTAAATTAATATTCACATGTTCAAATCACTGCGGAGAAAAGAATAACGTAAAGAACAACAAATAAATTTAGAAAGTTCTTGAAGAATCTTTGATGGGGACTGCCACGGGGCAGCCATTTTAAAATTTTGGTTTGACTATATTATGTGTTGGGGTTTGCTCTCCGCTACCACCAAATTTCAGCTTAAAATGGCAAAATATCAATGAATTAAAGTTTTTTTTTATTATTTCAAACTATAGTGGCCATCTTGTATTTTTTATTTGGATTCAATATGTGATGGGCAATGTTCACAGCTACAACCTCACCAAATTTCAGCTCCAAATGTGTAAAAATAGCTGCGGTAAAGCCATTAAAGTTAGCTTTGGTGGCTATCTTTTTTTCACTTTTTATTATTAATTATTTATTGAACATTGCTCTCAGCTATCACCTCACTAAATTTCATCATAATATCTGTAAAAATGGCTGGTTTACAGTATTTTTCCTTTGTAGCTCAGGTGGCCATCTTGGATTTCTGATTTGCAACCAGACAAATAAAAATGGTGTCTTTGTTTGCAAATTACATTGCCATGGTAACTTGAAATGCCAATACAAGTAACAGCACGCATCACGGTGCCGAGCTGGTCGTTTTGATATAACATTTGTGGGGGTACACATTGCAGTTCAGTCCACATTAAAGTTGACGGAAGAGTTAGATCTAAAGTTAAGAAACCATTGTCAGGTGGATAATAATAGGTGGCTGCCTTATGCTTGGCGGTCCTCAATTAATAAAATATCTTCTAACTGTGTGTGTGTGTGTGGGGGGGGGGGGGGCTCCAAATAGAAAGTAACAAGTAAATTTAAAAGTGTGTTGAGTTTAAACAGGTCCACTGACAACAGGAAAGGCTGCTTTTGTTTTCATGTTACTTATGTTACTCGTTGGTGTTTCTGGGCATTGAACGCATTGTACAGCAGGATTTCTGAGTTCTGTGTTCACACCTGCTGAGATTAAATTCATAATTATTGGGACTAAACTAAGACCAGCACGTCTGATATTGCAACAGTGCTGCAATTTGTCTCTTTTATTCTGTGTGTGCAGAAAAAGACAACTTTGTTTGTCACTCTTTGTGCTCATCTGACGGCTGCTGGGGTCCCGGAGTGAACCAGTGTGTGTCCTGTAAGAAATACAAGCGAGGAGAGACATGTGTGGACGACTGTCTGTTCTTGAAGGGGTAAAACTTCATAAAACTAAGCCCATTTTGCATAAATTTAAGTAAAGTTTTGTTGCGACTTAGCCAAACGAAGTATTTCAATAATGTCCCCAGTCTGCTGACAGATTTTTGTTGCTCTAAATGCAGAGACAGGAGGGAGTTTGCTAACGAGTCAGGGGTGTGTATGCCCTGCCACCAAGAGTGTAAAGTCCAAGATGGGGTGAAGACCTGCTCGGGCCCGGTAGGATATTGTTTTTTGTCTATCTAAAACAAGTTGTAGCTAATTAAGACTAATAGCACCTTCTGAGTGTGCTGATAAAACTCACTGATTTAAATATGAAGATAAAGTTTGAGCTTTATCTACTTCTGCCCCCTACTGGGAGACAATAGACAGAATCACATTTGAACAATTTCTCCATTCATATCCTGATGCATGCTCATTCATATTTAATATTGTCTCTCCTCCAGAGAGCAGATCAGTGTACAGCATGTGCCAGCCTGCAGGATGGTCCCAACTGTGTCTCTTCATGTCCTGACGGGGTCATGGGTAAGGAGGGATTCATCTTTAAATACCCCAACAAGCAAGGCAGCTGTGAGCTGTGCTTTGTCAACTGCAGCCAAGGGTAAGAAACGAGCGTCAGTCTATGGAGACACGTGTTCCCTTTTTATTCTCCTTTCAACCAACCCCTTGTTTGTTCTGTTTTCAGGTGCACTGGCCCAGGAGAAGGAGGATGTGTGGAGGCTCCACGACCTACTTCTGGGTAAACCCTCCTATAGACCGATTTTATGCATAGTCAAAATGTTGGTCATCCGTCAAGTGCTGAATGTGTGACTCTCCTTTAAATGTTTGTCATCAGACCATCACCCACTTTCATCGCGCTCGGGGTGATTTTCTTGCTCTTCTGTTCATTCTCCATTTTTGTGCTGAGTGTTTTGTACCGCCGAGGCCTCGCCATCCGTCGCAAACGAGCCATGAGGAGATACATGGAGAGCGGCGAAGTAAGCCAGCCTCTCTCCTTTGTTTTTCAGCTTGCTGTTTTGATCGATATGGGGCGACGTTAACATATATCTCGTGTGCTTTCAGACTTTTGAACCTTTAGAAGAGAAAGAGAAAGTCCACGCCCGCATCTTGAAGCCTTCAGATATACGTAAGATCAAGCTGCTGGGTAATGGAGTATTTGGATCGGTCCATAGGGTAAATGAAACGAGGCAACACTTTCTGCACCGCTGATTTGTTTTGTCTATCAGTTCATCGAGCTGTATTTTTGCTTGTTTACTTTACAGGGCATTTGGATTCCAGAGGGAGACACGGTGAAGTTACCTGTTGCCATAAAGACGATTCAGGATCGCACGGGTCGACAGACCTTCTGCCAGGTGACGGATGTAAGACAATTAAAATTATCTTGTTAAGAATGCACTTCAGTTCCAACATTTGATCTATTTTGTCAGGTTTTATTGATGCGTCCTGCCTGTGCCACTCAAAAAACTGTGACCTATCAGTACATTTTGCTGGGTCCTGTCTTGTCCTGCAACTAAACAGATTATTTCAGGTCATGTGGGCTGTAAAGTCATTTGACAGGAAGTTCTGGGACGTTCCTTGTTCAATATTCAATCTGATTTAGACTTTTTGGACTTTAACATCAGGAGAAAACTTTAGGCTTTTCTTTGTGTTTCTTGTTTCTGAACTGTTTATGTCATATTAGTAAAGTGTGTGTGTGTGGGGGGGGAGGGGGGGGGGCTTGAGGGTGTAGTCTTGATATGTAAAATGTTTTATTGTTGATGGCATGTAAAAAAAAAAATGCCCCACCATCATACTTCACCTTTTTATGTAATCTAAGTGTTTTTACAGTGTATACATTCAGGAACTCACACTTTCTACAGCCCCGTCATGGAAAAAGTTAAAAACTTTGTGTAAAATGCAAATAAAAACACAATGCAATTATATACAAATAGCATAAACCCATATTATATTCACAACGGAACAAAGTTTTCATTTGAAATGATTGAACTAATAAATTGTACCTTAAAAAAAAAGGAGGGGTAATTTTGAAATTCAGCAGCACATCCGTTAAAAAAGCAGCGACAGGTGAACAGAAGACTAAATGTGTGGTAGAAATAAGAACCAGCTGTAGGAGCATTTTGCAATGAATCATATAAATTTGAAGTAGATCAGTGAGAGGATTAGGTATAAAAAGAGCATTTTAGAAAGATTGAATCTCACTGAAGTAAAAATGGGCAGAGGTTCTGCAAAAAAAAAAAAAAAAATCTTTCTAAAAATAGTAGAACTTCAAAAAAAATGCTCCTCAAGGGGAAATCGAGAAGATTTTGAAAATTCTGTGCAGTTCATAAAATCAACAAAAGTACTAAAATTGTCATCATCACAAACATTGTCACTTTTTTTATTGGTGTATACCTGCACTTTATACTTTTGTATAAAATATTATTGCCATTGTGAGGTACAGTGTTTTGCTCAGTCACATTTGCCCACAGTCAAAGTTTTAACGTTTTAATTAACGTTCTAGAATTGCACCGCTCAAGGTGGCTGCATGTTGGAGCAGCTCTTTTACTTTCATTCTGGGATGTTGCTTTTGAAAACTTTAACTCCTCTTTTTTTCTGGATGTAAATTGCTTTATTTGGATGATTACTTCCTCTGATATCAGATGCTGTGCAGCTTGAAGGATTTTTACTGAAACCTTTTTTGCTTTTGGACATTTGTTATGATGCGTAACCATGGCAACAAGGTGGTTTTTACAACTGGGAACAGCTGATTAAAATCTCAAAAGCTCAACTAATACCTCAGCTACAGCCCCAAATCACAAATGAGTTAAAAAGGAGGTGCCCTGGACGCATCCTCGTCTACCTGGTGGAGGTGCTTGAGTACCTGACCACTGAGATCCTGGAGCTGGTGGCTGGCTCGTGACTACAAGAAGACCAGGATCATCCCCCGACACCTGCAGCTGGCTGTCCGCAATTATGAGAATCTCAACAAGCTGCTAGGAGAAGAAACCATCACTCAGGGAGGAGTCCTGCCCAAGATTCAGGTGGTCCTGCTGCCCAAAAAGACAGAGAACACCATAGGTAGAGAGATCAAAATCTGCGGCCAGTTTCTCCAAATCTGCTCTAAGATGGACCTCTACAAGAGAGTCTTTCTGTCCACAGCCATCAGCATCTATATCAACTCTAATGAATCCAGGATGATGAGTTACAACAACATTTAATTTCCCTTTGGGATTAATAAAGTATTTTTGAATTGAATTGAATCAAATTAATGTTTTGGCTGGATGGGTTACTTGCAAATATCCTCCATGTAATATGTAAATGTCATATGAAATCTAACGATTTCACGTATTTTCCACAGCACATGATGGCCATGGGAAGCTTAAACCACATTAACGTTGCCAAAACCCTGGGTATTTGTCCCGGTGACAGCCTGCAGCTGGTCACCCAGCTCAGCACTCATGGCTCCCTGCTGGAGCATGTCAGGAGCAACAAGAACAAGCTCAGCCCCCAGAGGCTGCTCAACTGGTGTGTTCAAATCGCAAAGGTAAGGGATCCGCACATTTCACAAATTCTTTTAGGCGTAAAAAGGCACTTTGTTTTCTCACACCTTTCAGACTGAGTCAAATGTCTTTAACGCTGTCCTCGTCATCAGGGTATGAATTACCTGGAGGAGAACAGGATTGTTCACAGGAATCTGGCTGCGAGAAACGTGCTCCTGAACAATAACTTCACCGCGCAGATTTCAGATTATGGCATTGCAGACCTGCTCTACCCTGATGATAAGAAATATTTTTACAATGAAGTCAAGGTTGGTTTTTCTGCTTTGGTTTTACATTATTTTTATCCACTTTTTGTTATTTCTTACATTAACTCACTTCCAACTGCTTTACCCTTAGACACCAATCAAGTGGATGGCCTTGGAGAGCATCTTGTTTCGCAGATACACACATCAGAGTGATGTCTGGAGCTATGGTGCGTTTTAATTATTTGTGCTGGAGATATTAATATGAACTGTGTTTAAAAACAGAAATAAATGACTTTTTAAGTTTTCATGTCACTCGTGACTTTCTCTTCTTTATTTCAGGTGTAACGATTTGGGAGATGATGTCTTATGGGATGGAGCCGTATGCATCAATGCGTCCTCAGGAGGTTCCCGACCTGCTGGAAAAAGGCGAGCGTCTGTCCCAGCCTCAGATATGCACCATTGACGTCTACATGGTCATGGTTAAATGTAAGTAACTTTTTGTTCCTGTTAGAGGTCCCTTGTGAAAACTGTGACAAACAGCCTCCCCCTCTCTTTTTGTAATCCAGGTTGGATGATTGATGAGAATGTCCGCCCGACCTTTAAGGAACTGGCCGGTGAATTTACCAGAATGGCCAGAGATCCACCTCGCTACCTGGTGATCAAAGTAAGACAGATCCTCTGCCAGCATCATGTGCAGACACTAGTTTAGTTTATATGTTCATCTTTGGCAGTGGAGTAGTCTACATTTTTTGTAGTGGGTATACTGCGCTTAGAAACCAAAGTACACCAGTTAGTACAATGTAATCGGTAATTTATTTTGATTTTTAAGCGTATTGAACACTTCAAAATTTCTCTGATGCTTATAGTACAACAAACTTTGTACAACAGTTGTATTAAAAATATGTTATAGAGTTTATAAAATAGTATCAAAGCAAAACATGTTCAAGTATCAAGTGCAAAGTTATTAATTATACAAATGACAGGTTGAACCAACTCAATGTGTCTATAAAATGTTCTAGATGTGTTGACAGTGACACGAGCTCATGTCACGCATCACTGCCAATGATACGTGACATGAGCTCGTGTCATTGGAAACTTTTAAGTAGGTATACTGAAATTCCCAAGCTTTTCTAGTGGGTATACTCCGTACACCCGCGGATCACATAGACTACATCTTTGGTTTGCCTGTGTCTGCCAGGAGGACTGCAGCCAACAGGAAATGTCTCCAGAAGAAGTTACCCAGAGGAGTGCAGACCTAGAGGACCTGGATGATAATCCTGAGCTGGACAACCTGGTGGCAGAAGGAGCGCTGGATGATGTGACCACAGCGCCTCATTACCTGTCCAGGAGTCTGAGTCGTCTCTCCAGAATGGACACACAGAGAGTAGGAAATATCACTTTCTGTAGATTTCTTTGCAGATGTATGCTTAAAAAGAACTTTAAACCTCATTTACTGTTTTTGTGGTAAAGACGGTCCTAAATCCATCAAATGGAACTGGATATCTGCCCATGACCCCCAGTGTTGACCTTACAGGACAGGTAGCTACTTCAGACTTTTGTGCTTTTACACCTTGTTGTATGCAGACTTGCCAAATTGCTGATTTAACATTGTCTGTGTTGTTTTTAATGCAGGCCATGTGGCTGTCACGGTCTCGACTAAACTCTGCTCGCACTGTCTCTGAGAGCTCAGAGGGGTGCGGCACAGCACTTGATATGGACATGAATGAGGACAGCTCTGTGGCAGGGAGCCTGAAAAGAAGACGCCACCGTGAGGACAGTGCCTATGTGTCTCAGAGGGACAGCCTGTCCGGAGGCCCATCGGAGACTCCTTCTCCAGAGATGGAGAAAGAAGATCAAAATGAATATGTGCTTCCTGGAGGCAGTCCAGAAAGAGGTGACATGTTTTTAGATTGGTTATTGTGTTTAATGTTTGCCACTGATTGTTCCAACCTCAAATATTTCATGGTGGCTCACACAGATGTTACTTTTATAAACCTTTATGTCATCATCAGATCTTCTTTACACAATTTACATATACAAGAACTCAAAACAGGATTCAAAGCCACAGCACAGTTGCAACGTTCTGGGATTATGTGCACGTTATTCACAATGATTTTTAAAAGACAGACATTTAATTATTTATTTATTCGTTTCAGATCCTTTATTGTACTCGTCCCGAGCCAAGATGGTAAAGTCTCATTCATCGGGCCTGTTGGACGAGCCAGATGAAGAATATGAGTACATGAACAAGCAAACACACGTTTCACTGAGACAAAACAGCCCCTGGCAGAAGTCGAACAAGAAACGAAGCATGTCAGTGTCGTCGCAAGCGACAGCGTGCTCCTGTGATACCACACTCTCCATGGAGGGCAGAGGAGGCCTGACGATGAGCAATGGCCGGTTTGACTCAGAGCAACAAGTTGAATATGAATACATGGACATCAGAGGAAGGGAAAAGGACGAAAGCCCGCCTGAGCATGACCCTCCACCACCTCCGATTTTACCAAGGATAAGAAGAGAGGTGGAGGATGAAGAAGAGGATGAATACGTGGAGGACGACAACTATCATTACACTAACAGTCAGCCGAAGCTGCGACAAGCTCTGAAAGAAAACAAGGAGCTGAGGATTGAGGGCAGGGACAGCAGCAAGGAGTACGAGTATGAGGACATGGACAGCTTGGCTGCCTCGCCCCCTGCTGATGCAGGGGTGTACCAGAACATGCAGGGGGAGGGAGCAGAGGGGGGCACAGCAGTGCACTCATCGGGGTTTGAGATGCATGTGAAAGTGCGAGCCGGGGTCGACGTCGGGGAACCTGTTGCAGGTGACAGATCCTTTGACAACCCAGGCTACTGGCACAGCAGGATGTTCCTGAAGCCCAACGCTGTACCGACATGAAGAAGGTTCAGATCTCGCTCCTGGGACACACTCATGAAGGACCTGGAAAAAGACGCAGTAAAGCCGCAGAATGTAGCATATCACACACACACGCACGCACACACAGAAAAATAAAGATACACAGTTCTTCCCTGAAGAACTTTTTATTACCATCTCAGGAAATGTACACTGTTTTTTATCATTTGTAAAATATTTCTGTGCAAAATGTATATAACTGCAATGATGTGCAAACTTTTTTTTTCTTCTTTTTTGCAATTTATTCTAACAAAGTGAAACAACTACATGCATTTTTGTACCTGCACCTTTGCTGTCAGAACAACAATTCACAGTTTTTGAAGCGAGAACTAGTGGAAATGTTATGAACAAATAATATTTTACCTGTTGCAGATAGCTTTTTGGACTACTTTAGTTTGGAGGAATAGAGAATATTTCTGACCAAACTGACGAGCTGACATCTGGTCAGGGTGAGATCAAGGTTTGATTTGCTGTCATCTTACTGGTAAATTGATTTTAATTACAAAATCAAAACAAAACACTACTTATTGGAAATGTGTACAAACACAATATAATTTACGGGGCTGTCATTTTGCATTTTCATAGAGTTTTATCGCACTTTGCAAACACAACTAGCAGCTAGCAGTAGCACCAGCTTGGTGGACTTCTGCCAGGAATATCATGTTGTCTGCTGGAATATCCACATAATGTGAAAGCAACAACAATGTGACGGTTTATGAAACAACATTTGTGTGAACTACTACAGATTGTTTTAGGTTTAAGGTGATGTAAGACAGTAAAAATCCATTTTGGTCTCATCCTCTAAAATCATCAACATCATCTGGTCAGATTTATAAAACACAATTTTTTTCATAGGTTGTTTAGAGATCTATCAACAACAGTTTTGTAACTGTAGCTCAGATCCCTGTTTCATCCATTTATACATCCATTTTCATTACTTGCTTCTCCTTTTCGTATAATTCTGTGACCTTCTTCCTGAGAGACGACGGCTCTAACCACTAAGCTACCGTGCCACCCTAACCCTACTTCAAAAGAGCTAAATTATCCAAGTATGGAAGTCCATTCATGTCAATCTGAAGTAAATAGAGTATTGAAAGTAAAATGAAATTATATATTAATATATAAGTTTTTAAGTCACTTGCCAGCACTATGAAAAAAGCAGGCAAACAAGCATTTATGTTTATATCTACATTTGTTCTTCAATATGTACATGGTGCTTGCTCTTCATCAGAGTTGTAAGGTGCGTGTCTACCCAGAAAACTACCAAGAAGAAAAATTTACAGTGAGCGTAGTTTGTGATGGGTCTAAAAGCTTTGTTTTTTAAATACCTAAGCAACTATTTTGAGAATATTTCTCAGTATAACAAACTATTATTATTATTATTATTATTATTATGGTACCACAAATGAACTTCCACATGTTTTAACAGTTATGACTTGTTTTTTAGGCCTGTGATTTGGGGCATTTCAGGAGTTAAATGTAAAAAACTAGTAGAACTGAACCAAATACAAGCTGTTTTTTTTTTTTTTTTTTCAGGTTTACCTCTTGAATGAATGAGTGAGATATGTTTTGAGAACAAAATGATTTTTTTTTTTTTTTTTTTTGCTTGGAGGGGGATTATAACTGTTTTCAGAAATGTTTTAATGAAAATCTGTAATACATTTTTTTATTCAATAAAAATATTACAAATGGCTATTCCAGAGTCACTTCCCAACTGCACCTTGTAAAACTGATGTTATTTTTCAATACAGTTAATCCTTACAAATTTACTTTTTAAAAATTCTAATGCTGACTTACAATGATTTATTAAACTCATGTATTCTTCAAATGGAGCTATAGGTTAAATTGTTGTGCTACTATAGTAAAGTTTTATAACACTGATTTCTCACAAAGTAGATGAGATTGTCTTCATATATAAGAGAAAAATGTTCTCAATATACAGTTTTTTATACAAATGAAATACATTTCTGCATTACTCGTTACAAATCAAATTACATTTCAAGATTTTCACAGCTGTATTCAGACAAACTGAGTTTAAAATATTTAAAACCTCATAAATGCTTGTATTACTATTTACTTGTTATTTAATTACAGTAGTTGATTTCTTCCTTGTAAAAAAAAACAGCATACATTTTAACATCATCATATGAAAAATCATTCTTCTGATGAAAAATGTGGCCACCCATGTGAGAATTTTCATTTCACATAATATATGTTTGGGTAATATCTAAAAAAAAAATTGTAGATATGTGTAATTACCTTTTTGTTAGTTAATATTCTCATTATTTTTTTCTCATTCAACTTTATTTATACACGCTAGCCTCAATGAGTCATTGGGACTCATTTACAAGAGGGACCTGTATTTATTCACCTTTATTTAAGCAGACAAATCCCACTGACATCATCTGACTTACATGGAGGCCTGAGCCTGAATGCATCCTAAACATGCATGTTTTTGGACTGTGAAAGGAAACTGGAGAAACCGGAAAAAACACTCACAAACACGAGAAGAACATGCAAACTCCAGACAGAAAGACCCCAGGTCCAAACTGAGGATTGAACCCACGACCTTCTTGCTGTGAGACACCAGCGCTAACCACTAGGACATCGTGCTGCCAACTTCTGATAGTGATTTTAAATATTGGAATACTTATTGATATTTTTACTTGTTAATTATTTTACACTCAATTTTTTATTTATATTTTGATGTCTTTCATTTTAGATATCTTAAATTAAACTTGTGATTATTAATAATGGGATTGCAGATATGTGAAATATTTCTTCTATTTCAGATGTCCACAATTTTGGGGGTAAAAGACATTTACATTAGGACAAATAATAAGGATATCAGTTATGATTATGGATAATATTTTACTTGATAAATGATATGCTCATTTAGGATAGTATCTTACTGAGTTGCAACTCAGAATTTTGAGTGTTTGCAAACAGTCAATGTGTAGGCAATGACATATATGTCCATAAATAGCTGCATAAAGTTGAGTGTATTTGTGAAGCAATGACAGCTGTGGTGCTGCTGAGAAACAGCACCAATAGAAACAATGGGAGGCAGCGTGTTTGGGGATGACACCGACCAAATACTGATAGAGTATTTCTCAGTCGTCCGTGAGCCGTGCCATGCCAGCTGTATTGGATGACATCATCTATATCATGTCCAGATACATTAAATTTCCCCACACCTTGGCTGAAATGCTTTGTTGAAGCGCATTGACTCCTTTCTTCTCATCAACTGTGTAAAGAATATGTTTCTAAGTTCTACCAAGCTCCTGAGTGCTTTTGTGTGTACAGTAATTATATTAAAAACGTGTAAAGTTGGAAATGCCTCAGACTCAGAAGTGATCCATCTTCAGATCAGAATCCCCGGGTTCACTTCATTCAACAACAACACACACTCTTCTTCTCACATGTGTGCTAATCATGTTTTTACATCTCACTACTTATTAAGGAACATTGCTGACATTTCATTAAATTCCTCATTTTGCTGCATCTACACATTTTTCCTAACACATATAGTTCAAACTCAAGGCCCGGGGGTCAAATGTGGCCCTTGATGACATATTATCTGGCCCCCAAGATGATATGTGAAATGTAAAATACTTCTAGCTCTTGAATTTTTTTTCAGTAATCTTTGATTAAGATGTCAAAAGCACAACAGAGAACATCAAATGAGACCAATCAAATTCTTGTTGAGGAACCTGTGACCAAGAAAGCTGTATCTGATTTGAGTTCATGCAAATTCTGAAATTGGCCCTTAGTTTGAAAAAGGTTTTTATTTTGTCCCCCTTTTGTAAGTGAGTTTGACACCCCTGTTCTAACATGAGACAATAATCCCACATGCAAAACATACCTGCATCTACTTTACATCTATGTTGGCGTGTCAGGAGAGGTGTTTCATGTGTGCTTAGTTCCACATTTGTTGGGATATGTGGAAGAAAAGTGCACAGAAACATGCCTGTGCACAGATTGATAAATCTGAATATTTCAGTGCACATGCACTTTTCTCAGTTTGTCTCTACACCAACTTTCAGTAGGAAAACTGCTCACTCTTGATACATGAGGCCCAGGACTGTAGCAGGTGGTGTTTGACTGAGATGGTGCACCTGTCAAATGGTACCACGTGTTTTATAAGAGCTCCCGTGGAGCAGAAGAGCAACAGTTCTACATTGCAACTGACTGATGTCTTTTACCACATACACAGTGGCAAAAACTTAACACATGGTAATTCACAAAAAATACAGCGCTCTAGAATCCTACAAACTAACTTGAGAAGGAATTGAGAGAAGAATTCTGCAACTATTTTGAGAGAATATCTGTTGAACAAATGATTGAAAACAAGTTAAAAATTCAAGTGACAAAACCGCTAGTCTACCTTTTTAGCTTTATAAACTTTATTGTCATTCAAAATTGTACAGTACACCACGTAAAACTGAAAAAAATTTCATTTAATTTCTCCACATCAGTGTAGGAGTACATAATTTACATGAATTTTGTAGACTTTGGTGTTTAGAGCAGAAGATACAACTGCAGATACAACAAGGAATGCGTGTTAGCGAATGTTCCTATATAAACATATGATGCATTTATACATGCTTGAGGTGTAAGCTCTGCAGTCTATGGATGAGATATAGATGACACTGGGCTTTCTTCACTAAGAACCCAGTGTTTCTTGACCAAGAAAGCTCATTGGTTATGTGCACCAACATGAACCTGGTGCTCTCCACCACTTCCACCTCTGTGTATGAACAGCAGCATGTGATGTGGTTTTGTTTTCCTGAAGTCAGTAATGAGCTTTTTAGTTTTGTTGACATTCAGATCAAGGTTATTTTCCCCACACCAGTTCACAAGGTGTGCCACCTCTTCCCGATATGCCTGATCCTTGTTGTTGCCAATCAGGCTCACGACTGTGCATCGTCTGCATATTTGATGATGTGGTTGGTCTCAGACCTGGCGACGCAGTTGTAGGTCATCAGGGTAAAGAGAAGTGGACTCAAATCACAGCCCTGGGGAGAGCCCCTGCTCAGACTGATAACGTATGTGTTCCGCCCCACCCGTACTGACTGTGGTTTGTCAGACAGGAAGTCAAGAATCCAGTTCCTGAAGGTGGTGTTAACCCTCAACTGTGGTGCTGTGGGATGATTGTGTTGAATGCTGAGCTGAAGTCCACAAACTACAGGGGTGTTTTTCTCCTTTTTTTAACAGGCACCATTCAGGCGCAACATGGCCAAATACATTCATAACTACTTCTCGTAGCTTTAGTAGAATATATTGGTAGAACACCAACTGTTGAAAAAAAACTGAATGCAAAAAAAGTCTAAGAGGCCAAGGAGGAGATATAGGGACTTGGACATAGGGACGTGGAGGTAATTGGAGTGAGGACAGAAGATGCAGAGGACAGAATGTGATAGAAGAGAATAACTCGCTGTGGCGACCTCTACAAAGGGAACAACTGAAAGAATAATAAGATAAATTCAATTCAATTCAGTTTATTTATATAGCACCATATCACAACAAAGTTGTCTCAGGGCACTTTACAGGAATATTCACATACATAGAAAGGCCAACCAGTAAAGTTCTTTATCTAAGGAATCCAGCAGACTCAAATGTTCACTTCATCGCAATTTCCCATCTTGAGCAAGCACAAAGGCAACAGTGGAAAGAAAAACTCCCTTTTAAAAGGAAGAAACCTCCAGCAGAACCAGGTTCAGGACAAGCACTGGGTTTGAGAGGACAAGAAGGAGAGACAAATGAACACAGAATGGCAGGTCCAGATGTAGGTGCAGGTGAACCTGAAACACAAAAACACATGTCAAGGATAGAAAAAATAATTGCAAATACAGGTTGAGCAGAGTAAATAAAGAAAGTAGAATAGTGAAAAGATGTGGTCAGTTTGTCCTCCAGCAGTCTAAGCCTATAGCAGCATAACTAAGCGATAGCTCAGGAAACCCAAGCCGACCCTAACTATAGAATTTAGTAAAAAGGAAAGTCTTAAGCCTAGTCTTAAAACTGGATAATGTGTCAGCCTCAAAGTCAGTAACTGGAAGTTGGTTCCACAAGAGAAGAGCCTGATAACTGAAAAAAAAAAAAAAAAAAAATCTGGTTTTGGAAACTCTAGAAACTGCAAGTAAACCTGCAGTCTGAGAGTGCAGTGTTCTGTTAGGAAAATATGGAACAATAAGATCTGTAAGATGGAGCTAGGTTGTTGAGAGCTTTGTACGTTAGAAGTAAGATTTTGAATTCAATTCTGGATTTGACAGAATTAACCGCAATGATAAAACATCAAACTTCTTAAAAATAATTTCTTATTATTATTATCAATATTATCATTATTATTGTTATTATTATTATTATTCAGTTCTTCTCATCCTGAACATTTCATTGCATTGTTGACCTTGTGTTAACCTGCTTAAGGAGGCTGTAGTCAGTGATGTTACTGAATGCACACAAATGACCCATAAAAGTTGATTAAATGTCAAAAAAACAGAAGTAGATATGAATATATTTAAACCACAGACATATATGCCCTTAGACTAGGAAGAAACTGAGTTACAGATGACTGAGTTGAAGAGCCTGTTAAACTATTAAATGATTGTTGGACTTGCCGTACATTTCCGCGTTTTGGCGGGCTGGGGGCGCCTGCTGTGACACTGCCTGCGACTGAACACAGTGAAGTGGGAGGAGTCTGTGGAGCAGCCGGGGGCTTGCGCTGTAGCAACGTGCACCACGAGCCGGAGCTTCGGTTGAGCCGAGGCAGGTCTTCAACGTAGAGGTGCTGCCGCTTCTCTCTGGGCCGACTGAAACTTCACTCCCAAAATGTCCGACGAGGAACAAGAGCAGACCATAGCCGAGGACCTGGTGGTCACCAAGTACAAGATGGGCGGTGACATCGCTAACCGTAAGTTATTGGAGTTTAATAGCCGTTTCAAACTAGGTGGGACGAGTTACCCTTTTCGGCCTGTGCTGCAAGCTAACGAAGGTTTCCTATCTGCAGCCGCAGCACTAACAGCTGCCATGTGGTTTTACATTCGAGGAGCACGTATGCTATCCTAACAGGTGCAGCTCCTCCAGTTTTAGCTGACTAATTCAGCTCATGCTAGCCGATGCTATTCAAGGTTAATGCTACTATGTTTAGCTGGTAGGAGCCGACTAACTAACGTGGGGTCCTAGCTAACGAGCTAGCTAAGCTTGATGTGTGGCCGTCCATTTTTAGCAAAAGCTAACAAGCTAAACGGTGTGAGTCACATATATGAGGCTAGACTGAATACTTTTTAATAACTAATTTTTTTTGGAAGACAATTAACTGTCATACTGGCGTCTTTTTATAATTTGTATTATGCTGTCTATACAAGTCCATAATTTGTATGACTAGTTTCTGCTGCTTTTTATTGTGGATGTGTCGACCACTTGCTATTTTTAGCTCAATTTACATGCTTCAACCTATCCAGAATAAATTACAGCGTTTCTAAGTCATGTAGAAAATTTAACATTAGATGGAAGTTTCCCAAATGTACCACTAAACTATTTAAAATAAATATTAGGACAGTTCTTTAATGCCAGTCTTGTGCATTGTTGCTTTTTGAGACCAAGAACAAAAACTAAAACGTTTGTCATGGTATATATTTTAGTATCATATTAAACTAGTCCTGCTCAGTCCTGTTTATTGTGATATGCATCACAGTTCAAATATTGAATCCAAGATTAACAAGTCAATTCAGTGTGTGTACTGTTACACTCAGCCCTGTTTTACTGTTTAATTTAATTCAAATTACCAGTAGATAGCTTCACTGGTTTGTTTACACGCACACATTTATGACAATCAGCCTATCATTAAAAAACACATGGTGTAAAGTGGCTCTTGGGGGGCAAATATGAGGCCAATACGTTATTAGACATTCACAGATGACTGTTTACAGTGTACTTTTTTCGTTCAACCTTTATTTATACAGGTTAGTCTCATTGAGTCACAAGGACTCATTTACAAGAGAGCCTGTTTTGGACAGACAACATGTAAAGTACAGACAACAATAAAATGCAATGTTGCAGGTAATTACAGAAGTAAAGCAGTCCCTCTGGTATTACAACAAATGAATGAACTGTAACACAAGGCTTTGGGTGTATGTAGCACAGCTTCAATGCCACTGTGCTCCTTGCATTCACTCACACAGGACACAACTGGTGTTTAGAGTCGTTTTAAATTACTGTGAAGCTGTTGTCTAAAATGTGTGACTTCCCTTTTTTTTATTAATTACATACCGATTGTGTCACTACAGAGGCTCTTCGTCGGGTCATTGATGCAGCGAAGCCCGGGGTCTCTGTGCTCAGCCTGTGCGAGGTAGGAGACGCCTATATCGTGGCGGAAACTGGAAAAGTCTTCAAGAAGGAGAAAGAAATGAAGAAAGGTGAGGCAATGAGCCGAGGTGAATCCATCTTGGAAGATTGATATCAATTTATACATCCTGCGTTACAGTAGTCTGATCAACTGACAGTCAACATGGCTAAATAAATAAATAAAATTATGACAGTAAAAAAGTCACAGCCTCCATCCTTTTGTTTTAACGTGCTTGCAGGAGATGCTTTTCAAATGATGACTTGGTGGTTCTCTTCTCCCTCTTCTAGGCATCGCCTTTCCCACCAGCATCTCGGTGAATAACTGTGTTTGCCACTTCTCTCCCCTGAAGAGTGACCCAGACTACTCACTTAAAGATGGAGATCTGGTCAAAATGTAGGCACAATGTTTAGGATTGGTGTTACCCTGTCCTTATCCTGTGTGTTTTTAGTTTCCCCAGCATGCATCTGTCTTTGTTTCACCATCATAATTTCATTTTATTGTGAGGAATTTCTGTTAGCGTTTTCAGAAAGGTCTAAATGTCCTATCCTACGTGGCAAACTACAAATGACGTTCTTAAGTAATTTGGTTGAGTTTTATCCTTATTATCTGTTCAGTATCCCCTTTGAAAATTACACTTACACAGAAATGGAGATAAAAAAAAAAACTATTAAATTATCTTTAACTTGAATTTGTATTAAATCTTATTAAAATTAATCTTGTAATATAATTCATTCAATGGCTATAATAAGTTAAATTCTATTGTGTATGTATTTCATGTTTAGTCTTTAGATGTGCCTTACCCAATATTACTTTGATTTCCTCTGCTCTGCTGTTGGTAATTTTGGTAGCAGCAGAACTTGAGTACAAGTGAAACAATCTGTTTTCTTTGTTTGATTATTTCAAACTTTGTCGTCTTATTTTGTGTTTAGAGATCTCGGGGTTCACGTTGATGGCTTCATTGCCAATGTTGCTCATTGCTTTGTTGTGGGAGCCAGCAAGGTGAGAGCATTTTTTTTTTTTAAATAATAAAAAATGAAAATAAACTAACATCTGATATTATCACAGTTTTCAGATATTGTTTAAATTTTAATAACTTCTTTATTTCTGCAGGAGAACCCTGTCACAGGCAGAAAGGCTGACGTCATCAAGGCAGCCTATCAATGTGCAGAAGCGGCTTTACGTCTTGTGAAACCTGGTAATCAGGTCAGTTTAAAAATGTCATCGCACAAAAAGGTTTCTAAGTTCAATAATCCAGGTAGATAACAACAAAAATGGTTATCTGGTCTACTTTGGCTTTGGTTGTCCTCGGGCTGTTTCTGTAAGTAGCAAGTTGGCCACCTGTCCTAGGACATGTGAGTGTTCTACTTGATTGTTTTGGATGGGTGTGTACTGCAAGTGTTAAAAGCCTACGGTACTCCTGAGATTCCGACAGGAGGTTGGCTTGACACAGCAGTGAAAGCTACGTATGGGACAGTCTGGTTGGCAGGCCTCAGACTGACAAAGTCTTCTGGATGGGGGATGAAACTTTTCTCACTTAAAGAAACTGGTCCAGATGACATGATTTAACCATTTTTTATGTCATCACACAATTTTACGGGTTTGCCTTTACGATGGAGTCTGCAATGTTTTGTTAGTCAGGAGCAGATTTAGCTCGACCAATTTTTTTTTCTCTAGATTTGTCACTGGCAGTGTGTCAACATGTAAAAATATTAAACCATCTCACCTTTATTTCAGTTCAAAAGATAAATGTCTACTACATTAATTAGTTTATAAACTGATCCTGTAATTATCTATGATTTGAGTATGGACCTAAAATGAACATTAATTTTTATGCACATCTCATACTTACAGAACACTCAGGTGACAGAAGCCTGGAACAAGATTGCACAGTCGTTCAAATGCTCACCGATTGAAGGTGAGTCTGTTGGACATTTGTCATCAGATTGGAGGAGGAGGAGGATTCAAAAATTGTATGTGTTGATTTTTATGGCAGCATATTACTTTCCATGTACAACATTAATCGTCTCTATGTTTTAAGGTATGCTGTCTCATCAGTTGAAGCAGCATGTCATAGATGGAGAGAAAACCATCATCCAGAATCCAACAGACCAACAAAGGTACTTTTTAAAAATTAACCCAGGAAACAAGTCACTAAAGGTTTAACTTTAGGTAACCATAATTTTTGTCTATAAATTACATAATTAACAAAATGTTTGATCCTGAAGGCTCTCACGCGTTACATCTGAAAATCAAACAAAAATTTAATTTTTTGAATCAGAATCTGCTTTATTGTCATTACACTGAAGCACAACAAAATTACATTTCAGTGCAGCCAGTCCAAGAAAACATTAACAAGCAGACGTGGGGAGACGGAGGTGTCTGAGGCTGCAGCCTTGGGAGGTGCTGCCGTTTTCGTTTAGATAAGGAAAAGAGAAACACGATGGGAGGTATAAAGAAATCGAATCGCACTGTGTCCTAGATGGGACATAGGGTGAAAGTTGCAACAAAAAAGACCTCAGCACAGAAACAGCAACACACTAATGACATTATAATACATTTATGCATGAGGGGGCTGACGAAGGCGGTAAGTTGTCCATGGACACTGGCAGATAGTTCCATAGTTCTGATAAGAGATGGTGCAGTGTCTTATCAGCCGGCTCAGCTCTGACCCAGGTGCACAGATGTCCTCGAGAAGGGGAGGCTGGGAGCAGAGCTTCTTGTTCACATAACTTCCAGGAGAGTTTGAGATAGTTGGTCAGTTCGAGGCCGACATGGGGGAGACAGATTCAGATAATTATTTTGGGTCAGGCCGACTCTGCTTGATTTTCTGACTAACTTCGTAGTTCTACTGGTGTGGCTCCAAACAGCCAAATTTTGTGGTCAACACCGCCAGTCTGAGCTCATAGATTCTCCAAGGTTGATTCCTTCCTGCCAGTGTGTTTCAGGAGCCACAAGTGGCCTGCGATTCTCAGAAGTCGTGTCCAGCTTACAACTCGGCTCACACAGCATCCGAGTCTGAGTGGTTACTGCTCGGCACGTCTTTTCACGCAAGCCGAACAGCGTTACAATGGCCAGAACAGCGGCTGACATTTATCGCATTTGTTGATATGCCAGGTGACCGCCAACTCCAAAATGCATAAAATAATACAATACTGACAGACACACAATCTTCCACTGCCCCCAGGAATCCATCGTGTATCCAGCTGCAAGTGTCCCGTCAGGGCAAGAGAGCTCTCCTTTGCTCTGTCTTCTCGTCGAGTTTTTTTTTTTTCTCTGTTTCATTCTGAAACTGTTAAAATCAATGTAATTAAATGAAAGATTCATGTAACACAAGTGTAAGAATGCTTTTCTTGAACTCTTGCTTCTGTCAAAATTTCAGTTGGTTAGACTTTTTAATCACGGCACACTCGGATCAATGAAGACACACAAAACACATCTGCTGAATTAAAGTATGTGAAACTGAATCAATTGCCAATTTCATTTACATTGAAAACGGCAATTTATTTGGTGGTTTTGCGATACTCTATTCTTAAAGTATTTATATATAAAAAACACTTAAAATATTTTTGGGTTTAATTTATTTATATATTTTTTCTTTTTAGGAAGGACCATGAGAAGGCAGAGTTTGAGGTTCATGAAGTCTATGCTGTAGATGTCTTGATTAGCTCTGGTGAAGGGAAGGTAAGCACGTTGTTTTCTTCCCTCATCTGTACTAATTTAGTCATTTTGCTTTCACTGGTTTGCACTGAATTGGTGGATATCTGACATCCTGCTAAGTTTCTAATATGTTCTTAGGCCAGAGATTCAGGTCTGAGAACCACGATTTATAAGAGGGACCCCAATAAACAGTATGGCTTGAAAATGAAGACCTCTCGTACCTTCTTCAGCGAATTGGAGAGACGCTTTGATGCCATGCCCTTCACTCTTAGGTTCGAGTGTAAAACTTTATATTTTGCAGTAACACCATGCTGAAATTTTACATTTAAAAGACATGAAAATTATTATTGTTGTGGTCATCAGGGCTTTTGAGGATGAGGCCAAAGCCCGTCTTGGTGTGGTAGAGTGTGCCAAACATGAGCTGCTGCAGCCCTTCAGTGTGCTACATGAAAAAGAGGGTGAGTGTTTCACTTCCCTGTTAATCAGGTTTCATATTCCTTATGTGTTGTTATATTGAACATCAGTTATTCTATGACTACTGTCCATCTCTTTTATTCTTAATTTCTTAGGGGAGTTTGTCGCACAGTTCAAGTTCACAGTGCTGCTGATGGCCAACGGCCCTCACAGAATCACAAATGGACCCCTCGATCCAGAGCTGTACAAGTCGGAGCATGACGTTGAAGATCCAGAGCTAAAGGTGAGCGTGGACCTACACTTCTGCGATGAAGCTTCAATCACAAAATGAGTTTAGAGAGTAACCTGCTGGATTTCTGAAACGTCATCTGTTTCTTTTTACAGGCTTTACTACAGAGCTCTGCAAGCCGTAAAACACAGAAGAAGAAGAAAAAGAAGGTATATAATAAAATTTGTTACATTTGAGTGATGCACATCATAAAGAACTAAATACTAACAAATTTATCCCCTGCAGTGTGCTCATTTATTTCCTTTGCCTGTTTTGGTCACACTTGTTTAATATCTTTTCATTTCTCTTCCTTTAGGCCTCAAAGACAGCAGAAAATGCAACTGGACAGTCAGCTGAGGACATGGAAGCTGCAGAATAAAAACTGCCTTTTCACATACAGGACCCCAAAGACGTGAAAGATTAAAATAATGACAAGACTCCCTGGACTCTGTTTTACATTTGGTAGATTTGACCTAAGGTGATAAATTGATTTAAAAAAATGTCTAGATCAGTTTAATATTGTGAAATCCTACACGGATGTTTAACCCTTTACTGCATTATTTGATACAACCACTGTGTGTTTTTTTTTTTTTTTTTTTGGTTTTTTTACTATGACAAAAACAATTTTTTGCAGGCTAACTTGTTTGAACTGTCTGACAAATATGTTAGTCCTCAAGCTTGAAGAGTTTTTGTTGATTTGAAACAAGTTTCTTGCTGAAAGTGAGTTTCATTGATTGACACTTCACTGTGAGAATCATTAATTATATTTAAAGCATTTAGTTTGAGACCATAGATTTATTTGCTTGACTAGGTGATGAGGCATTTACCATAAACTTTTGTAGCTTATGACAAATTTTAAGCCAACTTAAGAAGAAAAGAAGATCCGGTAGATGAATTTACATGAAAAAGTTTCAATTATATTTGGGTAATGTGATGCAGTGAAGGGTTGATTTATAATTTAGTTTCAGCTGTTATAATGCCCCCCAAAAAGTGAAGACTTTCCTAACTTGATTTTGGAAATGACCGTTTCGAAACTGTTTGCTCCAGATTTTATGAAAAGATAGTAACAATTCTATTAGAGCAACTATTTTGGTTGAAACTGCTGTTTTTTAACCACGCTAGATTTTAAAGCAATAACCCAAAAAAGAAGATTAAAAATTTTTAAGTATACAAAAGTTAAAAAAAAAAAAATCAACCTGGGAACAAACAGCTACACTGACTGCCATTTCCCTTTTATGATAAAATAACTGATCAGAAATAAAAATGTTTTCTATCAGTGACATCTGTATGGTTGGTCTTGTGAAGCATAAAGGCTAAAGCTGATCAGGGTTTGTTTTTTTTTTTTGGGGGGGGGGGGTAAAAAATTAATTGTAGAGGCTTCAGTAGACCTGAAAAATTCATGTCAGTTATTTTTTAGGTCTGAGGTCATGTTAGCTCACACTTGTCCAGAAATAACTATGATGGGGAAAGCAAACTCCTGCTTTCCATTTCAACCACTGAGGAGTGAAACTTTACGTCCAAGGAAATAAATTGTTTTCATACACGTTTGTGTTTTGGTTTTTGTTCCTTAGGTTTCTTTTAAATAGTCTTCATTTCCTAATTAACTTTACCTGCTTGCTGTGTCAGTTTCAGATCCTGTGAGCGAGACCACTTAAGCTTTTCCCTCGTTAGTAGTCACCAAAGCAAATAGTCTTCTATTTCACTGCAACCTCTGTCCAACTACCTCCATGTCTTAACTGCATCCATATATCTCTTGACTTTTTCCCCTGGCAGCTGCATTTCTAACATCCTTCTACCAATGTACCCACTGTCCCTCCTCTGGACATGTCCAAACCATCTCAGTCTGGCCTCTAACTTTATCTCCCAGTTGTTCAACCTGTACCTCTGATGATCTCATTCCTAATCTTATCCAGCCTCGTCACTCCTAAGGAGAACCTCAACAGCTTCAGTTCTGCCACTTCCAGTTTGTTCTTGTCTTTTTGTCAATGCAGCTGTCCAGACCATATGGTCTAACCACTGTCTTGTTAACTTTTTTCCCCACTGACCTTTGCTGACACCCTTTTGTCACAAATCACTCCTGAAATTTTTCTCCATCCTGCCTCTCTTTTCCACCTCTTTACCCCACTTCACATATTTATGGACAGTGGACCCCAAGTACTTGAAGTCCTGCACCTTTGTGACCTCTGCTCCTTGTAGCTTCACTGTTCCACTGGCCTCCCTCTTATTCACACGTACTCTTGTACTAACGCTAGCTTTCATTCCTCTTCTTTCAAGTGCATACCTCCACTTCTCCAAGTTCTCTTTCACCTGTTCTCACCACAGATCACGTTATCTGCAAACACCTTAGTCCACAGGGATTTCTGCCTGACCTCTTCTGTTAGTCGTTTCATCACCAGAGCAAACAAGAAGGGGCTCAGAGCCGATCCTTCGAGTCTTGATTATTTGAAAAGAATTGAGGGTTAGTCAAATGTATCCATTGTGACGGAAAGGACTGCTTTGCCCTTTGTTTTTGTCATGTATGCAATCATTTCACAGCAGTTTAAAGTGATGCTGTTCTCTCTTGGACTTCAGAAAAATTAATCATAATTTCCCTGCTTATTATTGACTATTGTGTTTCATTGTTTTGCCTTTAATCCCTTCCCTTGATCCTGCAAGTGCATGTTAGTGTTTGACAGGTCAGCGCTGTAAATAAGAATTTGAAAGACTTCATGGGCTAGAGAACTCTATTGTTTAATTGTTTAAAGAATTCCATTTTGTTTTGGTGAATTTATAAAAAGCATATGATAGGGTACAGAGAGAGGAGGTGTTGCATGAGGAAATCTGGAGTGGCAGAGAAGTATGTTAGACTGGTGACATGTAGCAGGACAGTGGTAATATGTGCTGTAGGAGTGACAGCTTAAAGGTGGAGGAGGGAGTGCATCAAGGATCAGCTCTGAGCCCCTTCTTGTTTGCTCTGGTGATGGACCAACTAACAGATGAGGTCAGGTAGAAATCCCAATGGACTATGACTACAGGTCTCTTGTAAATGAGTCCTTGAGGCTCAATGGGATTAACCTGTCTAAATAAAGGTTGAATGAATGTTTGCAGATGACATTGTTATCTGTGGTGAGAACAGGGAACAGGTGGAAGAGAACTTGGAGAGGTGGAGTTATGCAATTGAAAGAAGAGGACTGAAAGTCAGTCATAGTAAGACAAGAGTTCATGTGTGTGAATGAGAGGGAAGCTGGTGGAACATTGAGGCTACAAGGAGCAGAGGTCACAAAGGTGCAGGACTTTTGGTCCACTGTCCATGAAAATGGAGTGGTAAAGAGGTGAAAAAGAGAGTCCAGGCAGGATGGAGTGGATGGAGAAAAGTTTCAGGAGTGATTTGTGACAAAAGGGTGTCAGCAAAGGAAAAGTTTACAAGACAGTGCCCAAACAACAGTGTGATTAGATATGTTGTATCTTGAGACAGTGGAACTGACAAAAAGACAGGAGAAAGAACTGGAAGTGGCAGAAATTAAGATGCTGAGGTTCTCCTTAGGAGTGTCAAGGATGTATAAGATTAGGAATGAGATCGTCAGAGGTACAGCACAGGTTGAACAACTGTGAGACTGAGATGGTTTGGACATGTCCTGAGGAGGGACAGTGTATTGGTAGATGGATATGTTAATTCAGCTGCCTGGAAAAAGCCAAAGAGGAGATATACGGATGCAGTTAGGACATGGAGGTAGTTGGAGAGGACAGAGTGAGATGGAGAAGGATGAATCGCTATGGCGACCACTGAAAAGCCAAAAGAAGAAGAAGGAGCCATGTGTTTCTTTGCTTGCATAAAGGCTGTAGTGTGAGGTGAGACAATGTCATCACAATCATATTCCTAGTGCATGTGCAAGATAGACATTAATACCATGATAAGCCTCAAATTCGTTAATCTTGATTTCATTTAAAGCAGATTTCAAACATAAGTACAAAATCTTGAACAAATCTAACCAAGACACAAGAACAAATACGAAATTGTCTTTTTTTATGTCCTGATGCATGCTCAATAATACAGGTAGATAAATCAACCCTTAACAAGTAGTACATTTGAAGTTTATTTTTGCAAGTATACTTTAAGTTAAATATAAGTATATCAAGTATACACACCATACTTGTAGTGTACCAGAAGTATACTGATTTAATACTTGTTTGGACTAAATTGGGACATTTTTATACTATTTTTAAGTATATCAAAGTTTATAAAAAGTAAACTTAAAGTACACTTCCTCATTTTTAGTGTAAGTATACTTGTAGTACACATAAATAAACTAATTTTTGCTAAGGGAAACAAGGTCCGACTTGTTTTGTGTGTGCCTTTTTCATGTTCTGCTTTATTCAGAAGTGAGCTTTGTTTTCATTAACGAGGCAATAAAACTGTTAATTACACTATTCCAGAATTATTAAGTGCATTTTGTCCCTAAATACATATTTCTTTTTTTATCACGTCCACCTGTCCTTCAAGACTACATTTTCCAATGCGCCAACTGGCGCGTGAATATGACGTTGCCAGTTAATAAAAGCCGCGCACTTTTTTCGTCACGTCCTCTTTCCGTTGCTCTTCTCGCTTTGAGGTAAGAGTCAGTGTTTGTGCGCAAACAAAATCCAAACCAATCTTTAAATATTACAGGTCATCTGTAGTTTCTAATTATATATTTGTTTTATTCCTTACAGAAACCTCTCCACACGATGAGAGCCAAGGTAATATACAAAGGCGGCATTTATATTTGTTGGGTTTCTTTCCTGCTGTCGCTCTTCTAGCTAGCTTGTAGCACAACCATGCTTGCTAGCAGAACGTGCCCCTATTTTACTACTTGTTTTTGATCCCTTCACTCGATCATACTGTGGTTATTTTGTGTGCATTAACATTACGTATGTAGACGTAGTTCATCGTTTATTAACGCATGATAAATACATGCTACTATGGTGACTAGTAAACCTGTCAGCCTCCGGTACAGTAGTGGACCTGATATATAGACATATCTTTTGAAAACGTGTATTCGTGTAGTGATGTATTGTCTTTGTTTCTTGAACATGTTGTTAGCCACTAAGTGAAATTACAAACACGACAATCCTTTGCTAATGACTGTGCTGTTTTTATTTTCCAGTGGAGGAAGAAGCGTATGCGCAGGTGAGTTTCTTCCAAAACGACGCTTGTGTAAACTTGTGGTTGAATAAATCAGGTTTTCCAAACTAGAATGGGTTTTTACTGTTTTAAGTGGTTTTAGTCAGTCTGCCTATAAGGACTTTAGACAATAATAGACGTGTTCTGGTGATGGTCAGTAATTGCACACTTTTTGTTAACTATATTTAGGCAACTTCCTATAATTTTAACTTTGATAAGATGGAACTTTAATGATCTACTCTTTAAAGGTGAATGGTTATTGCTGGCCTCTTAATTGTATATTTGGTATACAAAAAAAGTGTATGGATATGATAAAATGTTAAGTGTTGCAGTTTACCTTAAGATTTGTTTAATGTTCATATGTAAGTTAACACAAGGTCAATGCAATATTTTCAGGATGAGGAGCAGTTTTAGATTGAACTCAAATTGCATTAGGAAAAATTTAATGAGTGAAATGTACAGTAACTTGAGTATAAAGTTGCTTAAAGGGTTTTTTTTGGGGGGGGGGGGTAGCTTTTGTGCCCAAATTACTGCATTTGAGTTGTTTATTTTTAAGCAATTCATATTTTAAATAACTACTTTGAGTAAAGTTATGGCAGGGCAGATGACTCGGGACTCTTAAGGACCCAGGTTCAATCCCCAGCCATTCTTGCATGCGTCTCTGAGCAAGACACCTAATCCCCAATTGCTTCCCAGGCGCTTGCATAGCTGCCCACTGCTCCACCTGGGTGTATCCCAGGTGCGATGGGTTAATGCATAGTTTTCGCCTCTATGGAAACGTACAATAATGACAACACGTAGCACTTTATTATTACTATTATTATACTGACATGTACTGGTAGTAGTTGGAGTTTTCAAATGCCCACTTTTACACAGCAGCAGTGTTTGCTTTAGTCAAATGAAGCTTAACTTTGTTAAAATATTACTGGATTGTAGTCATAACTTTATACTCGTATAAGTTGCAGTTTATTACAGCCTCAGTTTAGATTTGTTCAGCTTATACCTGCAGGAATATGCTGTATGAAATGTCAAGCCAGTAAATTGCCCGAGTTTTTTTTTTTTTCTCAAAATGGTTTTCTTTTCAACAGGCTGAAGCGTAAAAGGAGAAAGATGAGGCAGAGGTCAAAGTAAGCCCTCATCCCTGTCAGCTGTGATCCCATCTGAGCCTTTCCAGATGACATACTTGGACCCTCTGCTGGTGATGAAACAAAAGTCCCAAGTCCTGACCAGATAAATAAGGACGCCAACCGAGCGAGCTGGGCGTTTCTGGAAGTTTGGCAAAGATGCTGGAGTGACATGTCATCCACTGCACAGCTGCTTTGTTCATGGACCATAATGCATCTCTTTACTTGCAATTGTTAATGTGGTGTATTGAACAACAAAATAAACACTGTTAAAATAGTACATTCAGTCTTTCTTTTTATGTGCAGCAGGATTAGATGTGAAATGAGGAATAAAGTGAAATTTGTATGTGTATAGAGGTATTTATATACAATTTTCATAATTGTAAATATCGACTGCAGAACGTGTGTAAAGTTTTATGTACATTTTATCTAGATGTTTAATAAGTGGTATTACATAAATGGACGTGACTTCAAAGTATCCTTTATGGACAGCCTTTGTTTTGTCAAATCAAAACGACTGAATACATTACTGTCTGAATGTTAACATTTAATGAAAAGTTTTACAACTACTAAAAAGTAAGGTGGACTAGATTTACGCATCTTTTCTAGTGTAGGTCGTTTAGCTACGTATCCACCAGCTTATGTACGTTATCCTTACATTTTTGCATATACAATAAATGTGTATATATATATATATATATACATTTATAATGCGGTATTTTAACCTCAAAAAAGGTTCGAAATCACGTGGATGACGTCACGCACTTAATGTTTTTTTAGACATTGATTTAGCTACATTTTACTAGTATAAACACTTTTTGAACGACACCGCAACAAAACTCCAAATGATGCAGCACAACAAAAGCTTAATTTAATACTTGATTTATAAAAAATTAAAGGTATTTGAGGAAACCTACATCTCGATGCATTGTGGTGAATCGTCGCCAGGGGGCGCTCCGCCATGTTGGCTCCGCGCAGTGGAAACTCCGCAGAAGAAGAGTTAGCATTGTAAACACAAGGATATGGCTGACGAGAGGGGTGGAGGAGAAGACAACATTGACGACAACATGGGAAACCAGCTGCAGCTTTTACCAGGTAACAACTACACCTAAAGTAACACAACTCGACGTGTCAGCGGGAAGTTGCTTCTTGCTAACGGCTAACACGTATTCATACAGGCCACTGTTAAGTGTCAGGTCCTGACGTGGTGGATTTGTGAACCATTTGCTTTCGTTTTCTTCTCTCTTTCTGAAAAACTTTTAAACAATGTTTGTGACTAACGTAGAAGATTGCGTTGCAGATAAGAGTTTGCTTAGGAGACTGAGAGCTAACTAGCCTCGCTGCGTCTTTACTAAACTTGCTGTGACAGAGAATGAGGAAGAGGAGGAAGATGACATGGAGACTGAGGACCGAGACAATGAAGAGGCAGAAAAGCCCAGCGTCATCACGTTTGACCAAAGTCTTCCCACATCGCATGCTGTGAGTAATATTAAAACCATCCTTTATTCCTCTTACACCTCATTCTGTTCAGTGCCCTGAGATGACTTCTGTTGGCCCCATATAATTAAACAGAATTGCACTGATTGACCTCCACCCATGTGGCCCTTCCCTCTGTCCACCTGTGGCCTTGTTTACTGTTTATCTCCTGTGCGGACAGTACCTGGGTTCAGACATGGAGGAGTTTCACGGACGCACAGTCCACGATGACGACAGCTGCCAGACCATCCCTGTGCTCCCCGACAGAGCTGTGATGCTGGTTCCTGGCCAGACGTTGCCTCTGCAGCTCTTCAGACCGCAGGAGGTCAGCATGATGAGGAGCGTGATCCAGAAAGACAGAACGTTCGCCGTGCTCGCACACAGGTCCGCATGGAAACGTCTAACTCTTCATGGGGTGGTCATCACAGGGCGAACACAGCTTTAGTACAGGAAACACTTCACTGTTGAGATTAAGGCCCTGTTTACACGAGAACAACATCTGGAAACATTAGTGTTTTTCAATATTTATTGGGGGTAATAAACAAAAAAAGAGAGGGTTTATGGGAAAACGCTGTAGTTTCCATATCAGTCGGGTTGCCAGATAAGAAATTATGAACTGTAGCACTGTCGCTTTAAAACATATGTGTCAAACAAAAGGCCCGGGGGCCGAATGTGGCCCTCGTTGACATCTTATCTGGCCCCCAAGATTATATTTTTAATGTAAAATACTTGTCACTTTTTTTTCAGTAATCTTTGACTATGATGTCAAAAATGCAACAGAGAACATCAAATGAGACCAATCAAACTTTTGTTGAGGAACCTGCAACCAAGAAAAGATGTTGGATATCTAACTTGAGTTTATGTAGATTCTGAAACTGGCCCTTAATTTGAGAAAGGGTTTAATTTTGGCCCCCCTTTGTAATTGAGTCATATGTACTGCGTAAAATGAGGTGTGCACTGTGTTTGTTGAACATGTGCACAGAAAAGGAGGGGTAAATAAAACATTTTAAATTTATCTGGCAACCCTGATATGGGATTAGCTGCATTCACTGCACATTCAGCATCTGTATGACAGTTACGTCCAAACTGGTGAATACACTAACGTCTCTTTGGACCCTGGATTTGAGTAGTTTATGTCCTACATGCTGAAAAAGGGTGAGTATCACAAAAACTCTCTGCTCTCTGCCATTTATTATAACTTTTTGGTGCAAAAAAACAATTTTTGACTGCAACCACCTGTAGTGTGCATGTGTGAACTCACACTTGCAGTAGGGGGGTTCTCTGAAAATCTCCACTGTGAGACCTGGATTCAGAAACCTTCAGTTTCAGAGAACGAGGGCTGTTGTCGTGTAAATGAACGGCTGATCCGCATCAGGAAGGCTATGGTTTCACTCAAAAACCCATCATGTAAACGGGGCCTACAACTACTGATTTACACACATGAATGTAGGCATTATAAGACTTGCTATTTGCTTTATATCAGTATCTATTTTTCACAGAATGTGTTTTCACTGAATAAGTATTACAAATTCTGCAGTTATTTCCTGGTTCATTGTTGATTTGGTTTGTAGGAGAAAACACCACAACCTGCTTCAAACTTTGAACATTTGGGAAATGCACGCATGACCTTTAAGGTTCAAATAAATAGATGGATTTTAAAAGCATCTTTATGTGCAAAAAATTTACACCACATCTTTTTTTATATTTGGAGTCAGACATTCTTTTAAAGTAGCCTTAATCAGTTCTTGGCCTGACTTTTGGAGTGATTTTTAAGGTTTTGTTTTTATTATTTTTATTTTTCGTGTTGTAATTTGATTGTGTTTTTACTTGTTTTCCATCCAGTTCTTGTATTTGACCATGACAACATATTTATGTAGTAAGTATGCTTCAAATAATAATAAAATGGGCACAAATGGAGGGGGAAAATATATTGTTTCAGGCTTAAAGACTTTCTAAAGCAGATGAGTTTTATTTAAATGTCATGTATTTAAGAAATGGGGGGGGGGGGGGTCCAGTGAAAGCCTGAAACAGAACCTGAAAGGTGCATCATTCTTCGTTGATAATCGACTGTATGATAAGTTTTCAGCTAACGGCTTCTTCAAAGTCTCCTTGTGGGTGCTAAAATACTTACAAAAAAGGTTAAATCGTGTCATCTGGACCAGTTTCTTTAAGTGAGAAACGTTTCTTTTCCCATCCAGAGGACTTCCTCAGTCTACGGGCAATAGGTTTGCTTGGCAGGCTGTAGACAGAGGAAGTCCTCTGGATGGGAAATGAAACGTTTCTCACTTAAAGAAACTGGTCCAGATGACACGATTTAACCTTTTTTGTTATCTACCTGGATGATTGAGCTTACAACCCTTTTTTTATACGTTTTATTTGAAGCAGTGTTGTCTGTGCTATTTCTTTATAGAATCAACTAAAGAAGTTGGAATAAAATATGTTTTTGTGATAGGCTGTTATTAACAAAGTTGGTCTACATCCAAATTAAAACAGGCTCTTTTATGACATCTAGAGACCACACTGGTTTATGTTTTAGTTAAAGAAACTTTTATGCCTGAATAATTTGCAGGTCTGAGCTAAGTGCAGTAACAAACTAACAAAAATCAATTTCTTTAAAATTTAAATGGTACTGGACAAATTTTTTTTTCAAAATTTAAAGAAAAACTCTAAAAGACTACAAAAACAATCTAGTTCGCTTTAAAAGATTATGAGAAATTTGGCTTATTGAAAGAAAAATATAGAGACTCAAGACATTTTGATGTGCTAGATATGTGTTTTTGTTTTGCTCTTTTTCATGAAAGTGTCAGAATTTGCTGCCCCTACTTCTTTTTGTTTAAGATCTGTTTTGTCTCAGATCATATTTGTTTAATTTCAATCTTGACTCCATGTGTTTGCAGCGATGCAGGTGAACCCGAGGCAGAGTTTGGAACAACAGCTGAAATTTATGCGTACAGAGAAGAGCAGGAGTACGGGATTGAAACTGTCAAAGTAAAGGCTGTGGGGAGGCAGAGATTTAAGGTCCATGAGATAAGAACTCAAGCTGACGGGTAAGTAGGAACTAAATGCCTCCATAAAGCAAGGAATCAAAGGTCAGGGATTGTCATGTCAGGGATTGTCATGTCTCAGCTCGAATGCAAATGTTTTTTAATAGGAACATTTTATGAGCAGGTTATTAGTGTTTATAAGGTCGGACCCATCCATACGTCGAGTTACTGAAGCTCTGACATGGGCTCAATCCAGCTTTTACAGTTAGTAACAAGAAAAAGCAGCTTGACTTTGACTCTAGTGTTAGAGCTGCACACTTTATGCATGTTATAGATAAACATATTTATGAGATGATCAGTTTTCAGGATATAATTCTTGTAACTTTTAACAAGTTGTTTTTAACAAACCATCTCCAGAAACTTGATTTAAATAACTGAATTTCACCACTAGAGGGAGCACTAACTCTTCATGTAGCCATCTTTAGAAACAAAGTGAAAGTTTTTATCCTGCCAAGAGGAGCTTTGGTGTTTTTATGTATCAATTATGCACGCAGGGCATTAGGAGGGGATCTGAGCAGCAAGTGCACTTGAAACAAATGTGATTTATTAAAACTGGTGACGTCAAGGAGCAGTTTGTTTTTCCAGCTGCTTCAGTTGTGCAGGCAGTTCATGAACTTATTGATTGATGACTCAAAAAAAACCCAAAAAAAAAAGACAACCTGCTGAAGTTAAACCAGAGTCCGTGTTCGGAAAAATGTGACATGAAATCATTAAACACAGCTTACGTGAGAATTGTTGGGAAACTTTCAAACTTATCTGTAATTAGTCTACGACACACAAATCTGAAATGAGACACTGGTAGGTTTTGTGATCTGTTTAAAGTTATTTACACTTTCTATGCTACAAACTTCTATAAAGCACTTTTAATCACTGTTTTACAGTTCTTGTAACACATCTATACATTATTCATGAAGTGTACTGTTTTAAAACAGTATTTTTTTTTTATTTTTATCTCAGTTTGACCTCTTTGTTTATATGAAATGCAGTTTGAGAATAAATCACTGAAGCATTGCTGAATGAAAGCACTGAAAGACGTCACTGTAGTTAAGCTATAGATCCTGTTTACTATTATCCTCCACTGTGCAGGATGAAGCTTTTATTAGGACACATATCCATCTTTCTTTAACTGTAGTTACGTAAAGCACATAAAGTAATTATCATAATCCTGTTCACGTTCTGTTTGATACTCTTGCAGATAGATAACACAACTCGATTAAATAGAATATTGGGTTTTTGTTGTTGATGCTATTTTTTTTAATAATGCATTGTATCATATATCAATTTGTCATTACTAAATCTGCCATCAAAATAATTACTTAGAAACTATATTTTCAGTACATAAAATAACTGTTAAATATATATATATATATATATATATATATATATATATATATTGTTTTTTTTTATTAAACTAGTAACACATTTTTAATGATCACCGTTCATGTGCAGACATAGGCCTGTTGCGATAAACAATAAATCAATTAATCGCATGATAAATGAAAATTATCGACCTCATTTTCATTTATCGACTTTATAATTTCTTCATGTCTCTCTCTTTCTACTGAAGACACTGGATGACGAAAGATTTAACTCCGATGCTCTTCACTTACCCCTCCCTTTTTCTTTAAAATTCATTTTAACCGTCCAAAATCGCGGTTTTGGATTGTTAAAAGCAGCTAAGCTGAGAAGCTAAGCTAACAGGCCGACCTTGGGAAAAACCTCCCGTCTTGTCTTGCTCCAAAAGTGTAAAAAGTTTTTCTCTGCAAAAAGAAGCTGAGAACTTGTTTACTGATTTTTTTTATTTATTTTTTTTATTTAAAACTTTGTATGAAAGATGCTAAAGAGCTCAAACCACACTGAGTGCCTGCCATTTTGAGAACTGAATAAAGGAAGGAGAGACAGCCCATGTCACGTCAAGAGGCCTCCCTCCCATTTTGCTTAAAGAGACACGCTGTTCGCTCCCTCACTATCCATCCTTTGGTTCAACCAGTGTTATACTGCCATTCGTTGGTCAAAAAAAGATACTATACTCAAAACAAATTAATCAACATTTCTTCTTAAATTTGACAATAATTACTAATTATTATCAAATTTCAAACAATATTATTGTTTATCGCAATAATTTCTGAGACAGTTAACCGCCCAGTAAAATTTGTTATCATGACAGGCTTATGCAGACACTTTTCGTCACTTGTTTCTGTGTGTCTGATCATCTTTTGTGCTTCTCAGCATCAAACAAGCCAAAGTGCAGATCCTTCCTGAACGGATCCTCCCGGATCCCCTCTCTGCTGTGCAGTTCTCACCACTGTTCATGCTCCATGTGTCCCCCTCCTCCAAACCTCGAGCGCCGAGCTGCAAACAGGTTCAGTGCTGGTGGAACACCTATCGACAGGTCAGCACGTAAATCACTCACATCAGTTCTGAATAATGCTTTAGACCAAGAACCAGAAGGATATATTCTGATTTTGTTTTTTGTTTGTTTTTTGGGGGGCGGGGGGAGTAAAGCTGAGGTTCCTTTCATATCAGACATCACTGAGGGAATCTGTGTGTAATAGGCTGAAGATGTGTTTGAACAAGGGAGAGTCAACCTGTCTAAATGCATTTTACCACAATACTTCCATATTACTGCTCCAACATGTGCATTGTGTATTCTGTGTTATTGTTGCCTGCACACATATACTCTCTTGCAAAAAATATTGTTGTACCTTAGTCCCTCGTTCATCGCGGTGGATCCGTACCCTGAAGTCCTGCGATAAGTAAAAAACCGTGAAGTAGTCCAAGTTTAAGTGAACTGATGGCTTCTGGGTAACGTAGTTCTTTAGACTGGCAAAACAGTGAAGGCTTAATGAAGAATGTCAGTGATATTTTTTGGAAAATATTACGTACATGTACAGTACTTAAACAAACTAATGGAGCAAGTCCGTGAAAAATGAACCGCGAAGCAGCGAGGGACTACTGTACAGTAAAAACATCCCCTTTTGTATGTTTGTTTACTTATTTGTTTAACAGGTTAGTTCACACATAATTTAACTGGATATACACAAAGTTTGTTTTCTCAGTCATCCAGGTATATAACAACAAAAAAGGTTGAATCATGTCATCTGGACTTCGTTTTTTT